CTTGAGACTCAGAGATTCCAGATCCGGGCATTCCAACAGCAAACCAGTTGCCATCTCCAGAGAGTGATACAGAGTGCCCCAACTGTGCACCTTCAATTTCTCCGTACAATCCAGAAACATCAATGCCAAACTCTTGATATTTCTCACGCTGCCAGTCATTGCCGTTCAGGAAGTAGGTTGTTGCAAAGCCAATGAGAGTTGTGCCATCATGAACCGGAGCTCCAATTGCAATTTTGTTTCCATTTGCTGACAGAGAAATGGAATGACCAAATCTAGAAATTGGTGAGCCATCCAACTCAACACCTTGAATTGTACTGCCTCGTTGAGACCACATGTCTGTGCTCGTGTCATATTGGAACACCACAACAAATCGATTGGTGTCAGAGCTGACAGCAACAATGCTGCCATTTCTTGATATTGCAACAGTATTACCAAAAAAGGTAAATGAGAGAGGAAAACGTGTCAAGTCTTGCCCTTTTTGGGTCCATCCACTGGCAGCGTTCCCAAAGACACGAACAATGCCAGTAAATCTTTCATGGACCACTATTGTTGTCCCTGTCTCATCAATGGCCACAGACTCTCCAAAAAATCCAAAATTGGTATCTCCCACAAGATTTCCTCCATATTGGACATATCCGCTCATGGGAACCAACCGACGATGCTCCTCATTTGCTTAGGTCTATCATGTGGAGTGCATACTTTTGGGGTTCACTGGTACCGCCAGTACCATGGATTGATACAAAGAGAAAAGCGGCATGAACACACAGCAGGATAGCCCTTCTAGGGCCACGGCTCCATTGCAAAAGATTGTTGAAATTCACTAACATGGTTGACAATTAATTCAAGGGTTCAACAAACAGATTCAATCGAGCTCGATCATAGAGGAGAATAGGATCGACTGTGAAAGCTATCATCATTCACGACGAAGCAGCTAAGCTAGCTCATATTAGCTAGCTAGTTCCTTCTTTTAGAGAAGCGGCAGTTCAACATTGCAATCGTAGCTAGCCATTGCAGGCAGTCAAATACATTCCAAGGTGCTCCATATATTTCAATACTGGTAGGCGGAGGTGCTCCATAGCATGCCTTAAGCGACCTCAAAACTGACGGCTGTTATTCTGAACGTTAGAAGACAGCTCTGAATTGTATGCTGAATGCGGTCTAGGATTTTCAAGTATTGTTTCAGAGAGATAACTATTGTTACTGGTAACCCGCTGGCTTATTTTCACAGATCTTTGGAACATCGAAGCCTCGAAGCCTTCATCAGCTTTGACACTTTTTAAGGGGGGTTAGAGTAGGGAAATTATCTACAGAAGCCAGCCGGGGCCAGGCTTAAGCAAAGAACAGTCGAAATTCAGGACTAGGTTCTGTGGGATCAGGGGCAAGAAATTGAGGACCAGTACGGGGGCCAAATGGTTTGGCTTTGCGAGATCCACAGAGACATAAATGGGTAGCTTTCACAAGGGCAATTGAGATACGGGTCTGCATGAAAAACATCATTTGAGAGTAGGAAAACTGAGTTTTGGAGGCAGTAGCAGAAGCAAGCCGTTGTAAGAGAATCTTGGCTTGGGGGGCAAGCATGCCATCCACAGAAACAACAAAGGGATGGAAGGAAGCGCGATTGGAGTCGCACGCTTCTTTAAATTTGGAAATTTTGTCGTGTTCTTGTTGGGTTAACACTTTGACGGGATCTTTGTTTCGGTAAGAGGCACAGTCCAAATCAGTGACACGTACGTCAATAATAGCTGTAGTACCTCGTTCAAACAAGCCGCGAATGGAAAGATCACCACGTAAGAGCTCGGGGGCTGGAGGGGGATTGAGAGGGCGGGAGGAAGGGGAGGTAAGGTGGAAATTGGGTGACCGGCAGGGATAGTAGGGGCGGGAACAGATGGAAGGGGAGATTCTGACTGGACGCTAGAGGAACCAAAGCATTCACACGCAATAGAACCAAGTTCATTGCGGATTTCATAGTTTGACCATGACTTATCTTGCTTGTAGGGTTCCATCCTGATAGCGTCGTCCCAAGGAGACGGATCGCCTGTTACCCAGCTCTACTAGTACTAATAGTAGTAATGGTAGCAGCAATGCGAGTGTGTAGGTCTCCTTGTTGACACTGGTGTTGAGTCTTCCCGCGTTGATTGGAATGTGATGTTGGCTGGCCCTCGTCATTCCTCTCTTGGGAGGAACCGCGACGACGGCCTCGCGTCATGCCAGTCATGTCGTCGAATTCGTTACCAAACTGATCATGCTTTCCCTGGTGGTGCTCTTTGTCGCTTATGAATCCAGCAAGCGACGCTCTGCTTGTAAGTATGGTTTTGCGATTCTGGTTAGTGTGGCATCGCTGCTGATTCTAGTGGATCCCACCCGGCACGTGTTGTTGGATCAGACGGACTGGCAGTACGTCCATCAATACAGGGGCATGTACCGCCATAACTGTCCCGTACGAGCGCTCATGCTTCCACCCCGAGAGTGTCATGTTGCGGCGGACTGTGGACAATTTCATTGCGGAGGAGACTTTTATGTGATTGTCATGATGATGAAGAACACACAATCACAACTACTTGTATACTAGCACAACTGCAACCAGCACAAAACTGTGCAGTGAAGGCATGGAAACCTTTGCCTGTCTTTCCCTCACTGGGTGGATACCTGGGATTTGAACTCTTTATCATTGGCACGCTGTGGAATGCCAATATTCGACACAAAATCAAGCTACCAGCTGGGCGACCCTTATCGTGGGAAAGACCTTTATCGTCCTGAGAAAGATCAAGGGAAAAAATCAGTTATGCTGGCTTGCAAATCGGAACTTGAGTACCCAATGGATTGGCTGGCGCTGTACTGTGGAAAATCAGTAGAAAAAGGACCATTATCATGATAATGGTCTTTGGGCTGGTAGCAAGGACATTCGACACGAATGGAACCGGTTGCGAGGGACACAAATAATGCATCAAGTCCAAAACAAGCCACAAGAAGATACACAAGTCTAGTTATTTTGTTTCTACATGCATGCATAGGGCAAGATAGATTCAATCGATCGATCGACACGGGTGGCATGGGAATGAATGACGTTGTCCATTGGGAAGGGGAAAAGAGAGCTCTCTTTTTCCAATGGATGACTGACTGAGACCGTGACACCATGGCTTATTTGCTCAGGGGGGGGGGGGTTAGAGTAGGGTAATTATCTACGGAAGCCAGTCGGGGCCAGGCTTAAGCAAAGAACAGTCGAAATTCAGGACTAGGTTCTGTGGGATCAGGGGCAAGAAATTGAGGACCGTTAATGATTGATTGAATGAATTGTGGATGACCAGCCCACCAATCGATATACGGTGTCTCTACCGGAACATACATACATATACATACATACATACAAGAATGTCGAATCTATTATTAATTAATAGGACAAATTGAGAAAGCAAGGCGTCTTGGCTCTCGAGTTGCTTTAGAGTTCTGGCCACTTATTCGTGGGGCTCGGGCTGCAAAGGCCATAACAGGGCTTACAGTACCACAGAAACGCGTGAACCTAAAGGGCGCTCGGATCATCGCCGCACATGCTAGAAGCACACTCTCGAGGCAACTCGATGATCGACAAGACGAAGAGGCTATGGAAGATCGATATTGCTGATCGAAATAGAGTACAATAGAGGTGCATCACCCAACATTCGTGGAGGAGTCCAAAAGAGGCGACGGCCTTGGGCGGCTGCAAGAGCAATTTAATCATGCTTGTTGACCCATCCTTTTTCGTGCTGCCGATCGCGTTGTTACCGATCGCTTGCCCGTTGCCGCTCATGGTGGTGGCGCGGCTGTTCGAAGCATTTCCTTTCGTTGTCCAAGTTCTTCCGAGTCGATACATATTCACTCACTGCGTATATATACAAAGCGTGCGATTGGAGCTCAGCCCAGCTGCGGGATCACTTCAGCCATAGCTCTAACACGCACGGTGGACCCAAGCATCGTGAAGCCGCTGCCATAGAACTATTATCTTCTGATTGCAAATTGCAGCTTCAATGAAGCCAAGCCAAAAGAACAAAGAAACCAAACAAAGGACGTGCCACTGCCACTGGCTTGTGTGTCTGAGCGTACCGTACGCGAGCCCGAGACAAGGGTTTTTTCCACGGGCTTCCCTTTCAAAGTGGGGTGCCGGTGCTCCTGCAGGATACGTTTAGATCTCCCCTCAAGTATGTTGAAATTATGTTTACTGAATCTACCTATAGATCGCGAAGCTCTCTTCCACGGTACAGTCACAGCTCGGAAATATGCCCAACTCCCACAGTCGCACACGCAGGATCCCACATCGAGGAATGCTCCGCATCATGGAACCATAGCTATCTGCTCCTATATGGATTCACATCGGGAACGATATCACAGAGTACTGGTGCAATGGAAGGCTTCCAGTTGCCGGAGTCAGATTATGAGGGCTGTATGGGAAGGCTTCTGCGAACTACATGCTCGCAAAGATATTTCTTGGGAACGCCAGAATGCAGGCCATAATCCCCATCATTTCCCGCAGTACCTGTAGAGCGGAGAGACTGAGGGACGCATCGAACGGAAGATGTCAAGGAACACCCGTAGCCCACTCGACTCAGCGGACTTGACTCATCCAGCTAGAAACTCGTATGAATCGAATCACATCTACCAACACCACTTTTCAGCTTTTTCGTCAGCATAATATGCTAGAGCGGCAGAGAAAAGTGTTGACACATGGAGGAGGACTATACATATATATACTGGTGTGGGTAGAGGGGAATTTTGATACCCCTATACCATAGCGTTTTGGCCAACGCAGGAATAATAACGTCGCACGATTTGATCCTGAGAATTCCACGAAGCTGAGAGAATACAGGGGGAAGAAGTAATTCCTGAACCGAATGATAATCCATGGGGAAGAATTCGGGTCACAGGGGCGAATAAATTGATCATACATTGTTTGGGTCCTGTGAGTCAAGTGTTTGAACGGAGATAAAGCAGGAATCGTTTACCCTATCCACCGAAAATTATGCTTAGGACTCGACTCGACTCGTGGCTACGCCAGAAAGCAGAAATCCTTCCACAAAGAACGGCAAACACCACAGGCATGCATCTTATTGGCATCTCATAATTTCTTTGCAACGCAAAGCCATCAACCAAAATCCCCTATAATCAATAAGTATTTCTACCAGAAGGCAAAATGAAGTTCTCCCCCACCATTCTTGATGCCCTCAACCATCATGCCTCCGAGACTCCCAACAAGGTCGTCTTTGCTTGGGTCGACATCAAGTGTGAGGAACAGGACAAGATGACATTCAAGCAGCTGGAAGACCAGTCCAACACTGTGGCAGCTCGCCTCATAAAACTGGGATGCCAAAAGGGAGATCGGGTTATGATTGCCTATCCCTTTGGTCTCGAGTTTTTGGCTGGAATGTTTGGAGCCATGAAGATTGGAGTTGTCCCCTGCTCCATTTATCCACCAAATCCCAGTCAACTCAAGACGGATATGCCAAAGTTCCGCAGATTTGCTGAGGATGCAGGAGCCAAATTTGCCCTTACTACAGCAACCTTTGCCACTGCCATGACTGCTGCTAGCGTCCTCTACAAGACTGGAGTAAAGTGGATCGGGACAGACAAACTCTCAATCAAGAAAACCAACCCCAACAAGCCCAAAGAATATGAAACGTTTGTGGGAGAACCAAATGAAATTTGCTTCATCCAATATACCTCAGGCAGCACTGGACGTCCCAAAGGAGTCATGATCAGTCATCAAAACCTGGCAGAGAACTGCAGGGCTGGCATTTCCTTGACTGATCTAGACACTTCTTCTGTGGTAGCTCTATGGGTCCCTCAATATCATGGTACGTTCCAACAACCAAAATGAGCCTTATTTATGAACTATGCATTGTAGATGGCTCATCCTTGTCATTGATATCACCCACAGACATGGGACTTGCAGGATTCATGTCCTGCCTCTATACTGGGAGTTATCTTGTGGTGGCATCACCCCTTGATTTTATTGCCCAGCCACTGCTGTGGTCCGATATGGTGGAAACATACAAGGCCACCCATACGGCAGCACCCAACTTTGCCTATGCCTTACTCCTCAAGAGGCTGGAGCAGGCCAAAAGGAGTGCTGACTGGAGTTGTATGAAGGCTGCAATGTTTGGTGCTGAACCTGCCCAAAGCCATGTTGTGGCAGCAGTGGCTAAAACCCTCTCTGTCAAGCCTGAGTGTGTCTTTAACAACTACGGTTTAGCTGAATCAGTTGTGCTTCTCACAGGTGGACCTGCCCGCCCAGATGCTGAGGGTGTTGTATGCTGCGGTGATGTTGACTCCCCAACGATCAAGCTTCGAATTGTTGAGGATGGCAAGGAAGTTGAGGATGGACAAGTTGGAAGCATCTGGGCCCAGTCACCACGGGTTGCTGTTGGGTACTTTGGACAACCTGAGCTAACAATTTCAACTTTTGCCAATGCTTTGTCTGGCTATGAGGGTACTTGGCTCGACACTGGTGACTTGGGCAAGATTGTGGATGGACAGCTCTATGTCACTGGAAGGGCCAAAGATGTCATCATTGTCAACGGGAAGAACTACTACCCAACAGATGTGGAATCATCCATTGATGCAGCCTTTGGTGACATCATTCGTCCTGGGCGTACAGCAGCTTTCCAATATGGCGAGGATAGTATTGGCATAACAGTGGAGGCTCGCAAAGGGTTTGACAAGTTGGCAAACGATGACTTGGCCATTCAAGTATCAAACCATGCCTCACAATTCCATGGGTTGTTTGCTGTTAAGGTTCTTGTTCTCAAGCTTGATGTGACACCCAAGACCACATCTGGCAAGCTTAAGAGGAGTGAGATCAAGCAGACAACAGTTGCAGGTGCTTGGAATGATTCTTCTGTGATGTTGCAATTTCAGCGGGTGCAGGCAATGATTCCTCTTAAGAAAAAGAAAAGAGCTTCTTTTCTTGAGAACACTTTTTCTAATCAAGGTATTGCCAGCAGTGAGTTTTATCTGTCTGTAGGAACCCAATGTGAAATCATGCGTGGATCGACATGCCCAAGTCAGTTCTCCGCCAAATATGACAATGCAATCACAGCTGTTTTTGGTTTTGAAGTGGATGCATCAAAAACATGGGCTGAGAATGGACTATCATCCCTCAAGAGTGCAGAGCTCAGGAACAAGATTGAGGAAGAGATACACATAGTTCTCCCTGCCAACTTTGAACAGCTCTACCCAACACCGGAGGCACTTTCCAATTTCTTGGAGGCGTCAAAGGTGAAAACATTTCCAAAGCAAGAGATTTACAATCACCCTGACTTCCTTTGGAAATCCTCAAGATCTAGGCTGAGCAAGTTGCAGCTAGGGGTGCTCCAAACTGTTGCCTCAACCTTGATCCTTCTCCTGATTGTTGTCTCCATTGTACCATCCTACTTTCTTGTATCCTGGCTTATGGACCAGTGTGACTCCACGAAAGTTGGGGAGTGCAACAGTTTATTCTTTTGGATTCTTCTGCCCCTGTCCTTCCCTCTGTACCTTTTCTCATTTTCACTAACTGTGGTCTTCTGCAAGTATGCAGTCATTGGGACATATTTTCACAGTCAAGTTGATCTCCTGTCTTGGGGTTACCTGCAATGGTGGTTTGTTGACAGAGTTCTGGAAATCTGGGAGTCCTTTGTGGGACCATTCATTGTGGAGACAAAGCTCATTTGGGTCTTCTATTGGCTTCTTGGAGCAGACCTGGCATGGTCAGCCAAGATTGAATCCTTTTTTCGAGAATTTGATCTTGTGAGAGTTGCGGACAACTCTGTGATCAACCACCCATTGAAGTGCAGAAAATTCTCCCAGTCAACAGAAACAGGTCCAAAATTGACCTTCCGACCCATCAATGTTGGGAAGCACTGCAATATCTCTGGTATGCTCTGCCCTGGAGCAAAGATTGGAGATGGCAGCATGGTTGAGAAATTTGCTGTGGTTGAAGATGGGGCTCAAGTGCCAGACGGTGTCCTGGCCAGAGGCAACCCAGCATGCCAAGCAGGCTCATTCAAATATCAAGAATCAATTTCTTTTGAAGAATCTGTTTTGGATGCCTTCAAGATTGTTTGGATAGTGGTGGAAGCATACCACTTCTTTGCACTATCTTGCCTGGTGCATACCATGCTCCAATCCATTTTGCCCATCTGGAGATATGCCACTATTCTGCACTGGTTTCTACTGTTTCCGGCCACATCTTTCCTTGCTCTTGTCCCTAGTATTGCCCTCAAATGGCTTCTAATTGGGAAACGAGATGCAGCAGAGGAGTATGATGGTTCACTTTATCGGCAAGCAACCAATTGGGCATGTGACTTCCACTTCCGAATTGCATCCTGGTCCCAAACTCCTTTCTTTGGGCAAACAAGGTTCTGGCATATCATACTCTTCCTCCATGGCCTGGATGTTGACATGGAATCTTGCATCAGCAACCCATACAGAATCTTCTTGCCTTCCAAGGTTGATTTTGTCAAGATTCGAAAGTCATTTGTTGCCACCAGTACCATTGACTTGAACCAGCAGGCAGACTCCAAGATGGAAATTGTAGACAGTAGTGTCGGGTACAACTCCAATCTTCATACTGGGGCAAAGATCATCAAGTCAAAAATCCCTCCCAGGTCTGATGTTCGGAACAACATTACAGAGTTGAACCAAGCAGAAAGACCGTGGAAGGCTGGTTTCTTGATGGACTTGATTTTGCCAGAAGTTTTACAGCTATTGCTGAATGTAGCTATTTTTTCCAGCCTCATCCCTGCATATGAGATTGGTGCTGCCACAATGAAGAGCTCCTCTAGCATCATTGTCATGTTTGGGTTGACAGCGGCCATTGTACTCCAGCTTTTTGTTTGGATTCTCTTGACCAAAGCTGTTGAAGGGTTGATGCTGAACCTACCAAGCCATGCGCAGCAGAGCTTTTGTGCAGTGTACATCAACCACATGTGGCAGTTTGGGGTTGGGAATTGGTTGGTCTTTCTCCTTTATGGCACACCCATGTTTGCCTACTATGCTCGGATGATGGGGGCTACAGTGGAAGGTGATTTGTGGTTCTTTGGGAATTCTCTCTATGAGTATGCTAAGCTGCACTTTCAAGGTTGTACCATTGTGGATGATTCACATGTGAGTGGCCACTTCATTGATGGAAACGGTATCACCATAGATGACACCTATGTGACTGGTGTTCTGCATCCAGGGTGCTATGCCTCGGCTGGCTCAGTGGTTTCTGGGCCTGAACATGGACCTTGGAAGCTCTTCTTGAGGAAGGTTGATGAGGTGCATGTTGGATTCAATGATGAAGGGGAGAATATCATTAAACAAGAGAGCTCTTCGTCAGTCGAGCTTCTTGATGTCTAGGTGGCACTTCTTAGAGTCTAGCTAGTTTGTCAATGTTAGTTGTTACATAAGACTTGTGTATTGGAATTCCAACAGTAGTTGTCTGTAGCTATGGTAGCAGCTATCTAGAGGATAGCTCCGCAGTGGGACACTGGGTGAAAAGATGAGTAAACAACAAAACATGCATCCAGTCTCAAAGAACCTTGTGGAAAAGGTATTGCCTCTTTGGGGCTTCCTTGTGTTGGCTGCTTTCTTGGGCCCAGAGTCAATAAAAAAATGACCGAGTCATGAGTGAGTGGGACTGCATGGGCCACTGCTACAATGCTGCATGTTCGATGAGGCTTTGGTTCAACGAGTATGCGGTGGCAGCAAGCAGTCACCTTGATTGTGGATGTCAGATGAGTAATACTACCAAGTTGTCTAGCTAGCTTTGGCGCTGGGAAGCCGCACCAGGTGGCAGCTTTGCCAATGACGAGATTGAGATATTAGATATGTTTGGAGGCTTGACTCTGAGCCAAAAGAAGGCTTGCGTGTCCGTGTTGTTGCTGGTAGCAGAGGCACGATCGATCGACATGTTTGCGTCATTCGCCGCGGTGCCGTACCACATCAGAGAGGTTGCAAGTGCCAGAAGCCCAATATAACTGGATCCTTCTTAAAATTTAATGTGTTGAACACCACACTCCCTGGGGGAGATGGTGCATTTATGTTTACACGTAAGTATAAACATCATATCTATAATGTTTCCCCCATTCTGCTTCTGCTTTGGCTGTCCTACCTTAAACCCGATGAAGAAGTAAGGCGGTAAAGCAGGCGGTAAACCAGGCGATGGAAGTGGGTGGAAGGCGGTGCAAGTTGTTTCAAGATGGTAAGCAATGCCCAAAGTTGGTCCAAGTTGATGCAGGAAATAGTAGGTCGATTTGTGCCAACCCCCTGGAACCAAAAAAAGAAAAAGTGCGTCGAAAAATGGATCCATATTGCTCTAAAATCGCTCGATCTGTATTGCGTGCGAACCAACAGAAAGATTGACTCGGCGTGTTCCGTACCGGTACGGTGGACTCATCAAGTCATAGCAACCAAGGCAGGGATCTCTTCGCTACTACCATGACATCGGCAGCTGAAGGTTGGAGCCGCAGGGACGGAGAGAGTTTTTGAATCGGTGCTGCTTCAGCAATTACCGATATTTTCGACACCCATTCTGCCGTTTCGCCACCGGCAAAGAAAACACAAGCTCGTCGAGGCACCGAGTTGGAACGAGGACCTGGTCTGCGAGTCTGCGAGAGCGATTATAGCAGATGAACGAGCCCATGGGAAAAAGTTCATCTTCTAGGACACCAGGTGAGTTGAAGTTGTTAAATCCTTCAGTACTAGTTGGTATTAATGTAAAAAGCCAATGACTTTGTTAATTATTGGATCATGCTACTGCTCTTTCACGAAGCTTTTTCGCGCTTAAAGGGACCAAGTTCTCCATTGGTAAATCCTTTGGCTCACATTTTAAAGGTTTTACACCGTCGAGTCATTGAAATCCGATCGAAATCGCAATCGCAATCTTCCTTATACGGAGCCACCGATTGGAGTAACCCATCAAGGACCACGGAGAGCTCATATCATCGATTCAAAGAACTGAGAGTGGTACTATTAGAAGCTAGCGCGATCCCTTGTGTGGTCAGCGGGTACATCACCTTGGATTTTGGCAGCTCTCCAGCAAAGATTCATTGGATAAAGTCAGTAAGCTACCTCCACTGTTGCAATTTCCTCATAAACCAAGCCACTCCCAGCACCACGGCGATTCAGGAAGACTAAAGAAAGTGTAGCATTTTCTTTTAAAAAGCAAGTTAGTTCTTTTATGAGTAAGTGAGTAGGGCGTGAATAAGGGTGTGAGTTGGGTGTTAGTTGGGTGTGAGTTGAAGGTGAGTTCTTCCCCCAAGTGGAAAGTGCTTTCTAGTGCAGAGCAGTGCATGAGCAACACACTTACACGACAATGCTGCACTCCCCTAGGGAGTGTGGTGCCGGTGAGGGTGCCTTTTTTGTGTGGGAAAAGGGATTCCGGAGGTCACCTGCAGTATCGTCACGGTTCGAATGGCCCAGTGGTGGTCTCCTGTGAAACCAATCCCCACTTCGGCCGGGAGCGGTTACCCAAAGCTTCGGCTGCAGCACAGTGATGATCTGTCCATTGGGGCCATATCCGTTATATAGATTTTGTTTTTTGGCTTTTTACATCAAAATGCTGGACCCAAGAACCTTGTGATCGATTTTCGCTGCACGTTCCAGAGCTATTCATACATGTAATGGATGGACGATCTTGCCAGAACCTTAACAATTAATTAATTTGTGCAGGTATTTTATTCCCAGGTCTTCACAGGAGAAACAGTACTTCGGATCCTTCGCAGGATTTAATGTGTTGGTTAACTTCTGAAAAGGCTACAAATCATATGATTTAATACCGATATCGCGCGAGCTCTCAAATTGATTCAAAGTGTCAAGGTCTGGAAGCCTGTGGAACATCAATCGGCGAGGTACCGGTTACCTTGAACTGTGAGGCCGATTGGATCCTTTGCTTCCAGTCGCTTCCTTTACGGTGGGAGACAGGATGCCTTTTCACCGTTCGGGGAACAGGCGGGCCTGCGCGTGGATCCAGAAATTTGGAGAGATCTTCAGAATCCAATCTTTCTCACAAAAATTTGCAGATCCAATTTGAACACAACGTCTTCACTCTTTTCCCTCCTCATCTGCAACCCATCCTCACCACCGTCCCCTCTAATCCAAACTGAGACACAAATAAAGAACACAAGGTCTTCGCTCTTTGAAAGCTACCGGCAACTTGTACTGACTCGACTCACTTTACATTTCCAACCATGAAGTTCCTTTTCCTTTCCTTGGCTCTGCTTGGCCCAGCCAGTGCTGTCACTCGTGAAGAATGCAAGACCGATTATTTGCCTCCACTGCTTGCCTGTATTGATTCCTTCGCGGGGAAAGGCACCCCTGACTGCAGCTTGCTACCAATCCCAGATTTTGCAATGCCGCAGAACGAAGCCAACGAAATGGGCTATTGGGTGCAACAGCTCCGCGACACGCCCACCTCTCATGTCTTTGCCGTGAGCGAGAATGCCTACAATGCTTTGATTCTGGTAGATGTGCCTCCCACGGATGATGCGGTGGAAACCAGCAGAGGTGGAAGGAGGAACTTGAAGGGAGGCAGAAAGCTGGAGGAAATGGAAGAGCCCGAATTGATGGACGCACCTGTAGAATCGTCGGGTGATGTCGACGTGGACGTTCCGGATGGAATCACTGTGGCGTTTGTGGACTTCCCGCCAACGTTTGCCACTGAAGGTGGCTCTTTTCTCATGAGTGCCATGAACGATATCCTCGAAATGCTCGAGGCCACGCTTGACGATGTTGCCAAAGTTGAAATGATCTACTCGCACGGGCATAACGATCACATCGGACTCGCGAATGCCACCTTTGGACACTTGGTTGAGTTGGGTTTTGATCCTGCAAGCATCCCCATCATTGCTCCTGAAGGAGTTCTGGAGCACTTTGAACACGCGATTGAAACAGGTATGTTTTGAGTTGCGTTGCACCTGACTTGGTGGATGGAGAGTTTGTTGCACTAACTTTTTCTGCGCTTAGGTTTCTTCACGTACAGGTAAATTGGTTTGGGCGTTGCTGCTGTCTTGCTTTATGGATTGCGCGTTTTACGTTGACCTTGCTTACGTTGTCTTTTCATGCTGCAGTGCTCCTTTGCCAACCAAGACTTTTACTGGCTTTATGGAATACACGGTGGGACAGTCCACACCTTTGACCATGACAACCTTTGACGGTCACCAGTTTGGAGATAAGGATGTCATTCTTTTCATGGAGGCATTGGATACCGAAAACCCGGCGATCATGATGGTTGTGGATGTCGTGTAAGACCTTTTTGTGTGTGCCCGCGACTGTCGGCTTGTATGCGTCTTCCATGCATCTAACAATATGAATTGCTTCGTACGATTCGATTACTCTAGTTTCCCCAAGTGGGTTCCGTTCTTTTCCTTTGCCCTTTCCACTGATTTGTTGCAGTACATTGCAGCCCATGACACGTTGCTTGAGTTTCCTCTCGGTGATGATGGTTATTTCGTGGGCGGTCACTTGAACCAAATTGGAGATCGTAATGATATACTTCTCAATCAGAACTTGACTCAAGCGATCGTCGAGGCAGGAGCTCTTGCCCTACAAACGGTGGATGCTGGTGCCATTGTGGGAGGCACGGGTGCCTTTACTCCAGGTACGTACTCTGGTTTTCTGAGGAAGCGAACATAGTTGGTTGGGGATGTCTTACCGTCTCTTTTATGATTCAAAGGAACTCCCAACTATGGCAATTCCTGGGCTGGCTTTGGAGCCTACTTTGACGAGCTGGAACGTGTCTGCGCCAGAGCTGTGTTGGAGGAATACGGGTGCGATTTTGGAGGCCTTGACGTGACGCTCTATTCAAGCTGCCGCATGGCTCAGTCGTTCTGGCGCCTCGAGGTTTAATTTTTAATTTGATTGCTTGCTTTGCAGCAGGAGGGAATGCAATCAGCGTCGCTATTCCTTCCAATGAGTCGAGTCTGCCTGGAGATCGAGAGATGCCACTCAAAATTGAAATTGATGTAGAACAACCAAAAATACTAATTTATGTAAAACAGTGCATAGCCTCTATGCTATCTTTGGATTCCTTCGAAACCGTCGAATGGTGTCTCCGCTATGTACGATGTAGCTTAGCACCTTCTTGGCTTTGTTCGTGTTTCGATCGAGATTGTGAAGACGCGTGATCATGCGAGGGTCGGCCGACGCTCAGAACAGGGGAATTATACGGTCAGTACGGGTGAATTACAAAGGACTAAGGACTACGAGAGACCCTCAAACGCACGCGATGTAATACATGTAATACGTACAATGCGTATTCTACGTATAATACGTATTACACGTATTACACGATACGCATTGTACGTATTACACGTATTACACGTATTACACGTATTACACGGTCGCCAGCCAGCCTCCGTGACCGTTCGAGTGACCGTTCGCAAAATGGCTTCAACACCAATCTCCACCATGCAATCTCCACCACAAAGAATCTCCACCACAAAGAACCACCATGACAACAACCTCTCTTCTCTTGTTTGTTTGAAGGATACAGAGGTTTCTGTTGTTATTTGAAGATAGTACCATCATTGTGGGTAAGTAGGCAATGTGGTATGGCTTTGTTGAAGCCAAGAAGACTGTTTCTGTGGAAAGATAGAAGGATTTCTCTCCATTCAACTCCTTCTTCATTCTCCTGCCCCCACTCTCTTTATCAGGCTTTGTCAAGCTCACAGGACCATTCTCTTTGCATTCATATACTTCTGAAGGCTCACTGACGAAGCCTGTGGAAGATCTGGCCTTGAATTCTCTCATTGTCAACCACTTTCTGTAGGGACCAGTACTGAACCATGTAAGTACCTCAGTGCGCGCAACACGTGTTATACATGTTACGCGTGTAACACGTGTTATCATGTAATGTGTATTATATGTATCACCCGTGTTATACGTGTAACAGGTGTAACATGTATTATGCATATCACCCGTGTTATACGTATCACCTGTATTATATGTATTACCTGTATTATACGTATTACCTGTATTATACGTATTACCCGTGTTCGTTGTCTCACCTATTTTTGTTTTCTGTTTAGTATTTTCGTTTAGGCATCATGGTGGATTCTGACGATGAATCTGGTCGCAAGACGATCACGGGGCAAACGAGAATGATGCAAAGAGACGAAGGCTGAGGAATTTGAGGAGGGGATTCCCTTTGGCCTGACAATCCTGGTCCTTTTTTCCCCGAACAAATCACTCCCCGCAACTTTGTTACATGTATTCAAGAAGCCATTCCGACGTATCATCAGCTAGTGAGGTTGCTACATTCACAATGATGGAAGCAGGAGTCCATTCTTCATCATTGATATTGTATCTAGCAACATGAGAGAGTTCAGATAGGTAAGAGTCCATTTTACTTGATAAGCTGTCAGGTATTATGGCCTGCAACAGTGCATCTTCCTCTCTGCCTCCCAAACACCTGGCAAAACACCTTGCTAAGAAAACACCTGGCAAAAAAAACTTAGCAAAAATTCGCGCTGTGTATTATACGTAAAATACGTATAACACATAATACATTAATACGTCAAATACGTACAACACATAATAATGTAATACGTATAATATTGTTCCACTTGTGTTATCTGTGTTTTATACGTATAACTTGTTTAATACATATTAAAAATGTTATATGTGTAATACGTATAATCTGTAGAATACATAGTGAAAATGTTATACGTATAATACAACCGCGTGCGTTTCAGGGGCTCTCACTCCAGTACTGATGAGACTGGAGCTGACTGGCATAGTTTTTAAATACTGGAGCACTGGAGCGTTCAAAAAGAGAATCAATGCTATATCAACTTAAACTCACCTATTGTCATACTGTACCCCAAGAGAAAGCACTTTTCCAAATGGCATTTAAAGCTATTTGTATCAGTGCCCCTTCCTAATACCTGCCGATGCGACACTGACGAGGGAAGAGGGCACCGGGGCGTTTCAGTCTTATGATGGTTATGACATACTGTACTTGGTAGAGTCTGGTACGGTAGCATGAATCAAATCTACATGCCGAAAGAGAGAGTGCTTGTTGAGATGTCTATCTTCAGTTCAACACGAAGAGACTGATCACCGCAACCACACGCGGCCATGCCAAATGCCAAGCAAAATGATTAGGAGCCCCAACAAGAGCAATTTCTCCATGACTTTAGACGATGTTGCTTATGTTGCTCCATGTTCTTCTAAAAGGGAGATTACTATACGGTTAGAGTGGACTATGGATGTGAATGTGTGCGAGAGGATGACTGCAATGGGCAGGAAGGGCGTGAGCCGAGCAGCAAGGAAAGTGGACCACCCGAAGGAGGAGAGGAATGAGGGCAACCAGTGAAACGAGGTCAAATGGATCAAAAGACAAAGCCTAGTGGTACGGTAGAGATCAAGAGCACAACGATCATCCCCATGCCTGGAGCTCATCGGCAGGCGAGAATGAATGATTGAGACTTTTTCCAGGTCTCCCACAGGGAGGACCAGGAATACGGTATCCTCGATAAATATTTTCCACGATGTGCGAGAGCTGTCTGAATAATATTATTATTATTAATCCAATTCAACTCCCGCACCCTCCACGGCTTGGAGGCCAAAATTTGGACCCGCGTTTCTCAAGCCCATTTCAAACCACCTTTTGACAACGTACAATTGTGTTGTCTCTTCTGATAGTTCCTTCCAGCGAACCGGCCCAATCACTGGAACTCTTGGCCTAGCTAGCTGGGATGGTCTCTAGAAGGCTGTCTGTGTTCTGGCTGCGTTGGTTTTTGGATGCACGTTGGAACATCAGACTCGGCAGACGAGTACCACGTGACATTGTTTTGTCCCCGAAGGATTTCTCGAAGGACCAGCACGACTGATTCGTAAGTGCCTGTCCATGTGGCCCGTGTCGAATTTACCGGTATACTAGCACAGATGGTGGACGAATGCCTGTGACGACTCATCCTGCCGGTACCAGCAATCCTGACGTTCGTGACAACTGGACCTGGTAGTGCTGAGCAACCGCAAGGAGAAAGCAACCTGATGTTCCCTTTAACGCACTGATCAACTCTCTGCTGCTGCATACCACGGAGCCGATTGTTCTGATTGATCATTCTCGTCACGGACCAACCACAAAGCTCTGACCTTTCTGCGCCGATCGTCCCCGTACTTTCAAGTCCACATTCATTCCACTTCTGCTCTCTTACAAGCTGCCGATGAGCTCATGAGCTCATGAACCTCACCAGTCACTTGTCCGGTCACTACGCCATGCAGAAACTAACTATTCCTAGATACTCTTGGGTATCCCGAGGGCGCCCAGAAGCTTCTCATGTTGGACGACAACATTGTGTTTACCAGGACGCTTCCATTCTGTACCGCAACGCGATTATGCAGGACATCACCAAGCTCACGCTTTACTGCCCCCACGATGAGCAGTTTACCTGGATTTTTCACAGGCGAAGAAAAAGATACAGTAGTGGGCACCGGACACGATACGGTACTGCAACTCTGGAATGATGGGCACTTCGATCAATGACCCAAGAAACGCTGCAGATACAACCATGCAGTCAAGTTGCAACAACGACAACACCATGGTCGCAGCGGTTCACACAAACCACACAGCAAATGACGCAACAGTATCCAAGCGTCACCTACTGCCTTGTGAGTGGCATTGCGTCTTTGATGCCTGCAAACTAGCTAGGGGATGCTACAACTCCACCGGGCATTGCAACTGTCACAGACGTCCATCCAAGACCAGCCATGCCTTTCATTTCTTGGAACAGTCATTCGAATACTCAACAAACCATGAAACGAGAAAAGAGTTGGAAGTTTTGCTACGACCTGGATAAATACCAATGCCATTCTCCAACAGGTCTTTGAACCACGCATCCAGCAGAAATGCATCCAGCTACAGTTTCCAGACAACCTCATGGCCAAACTCCAGAGCACATCGTTCCCGAAAGCCTGAATCAACCAAGCGGTTGCCGGGGCTCATTATCGCACCGTCGTTGACAGATCATGATTCTTTATAGCTGCGGCAGTACGGTAGTAAAAAGTAACCAATCCACATCAGTTTGCCGTACCAGTACAGCAGGATTCCAACCAGGACCAACGAGGGTGCTTCGGTCTCACGTGAAGCGAACAGATCAATTGATCACATATTGGTCGAAAGACGCAGCACGTGTACCGTACAAAAGGCGACCGCTGAGGCCATCGTTCGTGGAAGATGCCCCAAGAGCAAATCCGACTGTCTTTCTGGCGTGATTCGAAGCAGGTGTTGAGGTCTCTTTCGATTTGGAATGCGTTTAGGCTTCAGGAAGCCGTTTCGGCTTCCTTTCAGCACTTCTTTCTCCCCCTCGATCATTGGAGCCTTCCGTCGCTATGATAGCCACACAAACCAAGGTTGCAGTCAGCTAGCTGCGTTCGCAAGCAGCGTCGACACGCCGCACGTTTCTTGGTTTTGTGATGTGCACAAGCAATGATAGTTCCTCCCACAAAACGCAACGCGATTCCAAACCGCAACAATAATGGAAATCTCACGCAACAACAGATGCACAGTTCAGCCTGCAGCATCAAGTCACGCAAATGTCTTGATCTCACTTTCTTTCGAAGAGCGACAGGAGGGCTCCGACTGTTCGAACGGTTGAACGGGGCTCGGAAAAAAGCAATATGGTTAAGAAATCATGTCCGTGTGGCTTTCGCAGCGATGACATGAAACGGCGATCATCCGAGCTTGACCTTGCGCGTGCCTTAATGATCCGTTTGGCCCCTCTTCATGAATGGCAATGATGATCCATAATTCGTGGAAGCCATTCGCAAAGAGCTTTTCCTAGCGAGGTCACAGGGGTTATCGAGCTAGGCTTCCGAACAAACACGTCTTTTGATACCTCCATCTGAACTGGGAAGTGACAGAGCGAAACGATTGACGGCTTGGCAGGTCGCGGAGCACGATCGGACTCTATACGGTTGGAAGCTGCGTTGCCGAACATCTCTATGCAATGGAATACAAGGAAGGTGACTTGCCGTGGAGGTACTGTATGGGCTACCGGTCAAAACAAAAACTGAACATATATTTTAAAACGGATTCAGACAAGAAGTGCTTTTAAAAGGACAACCCGGGCCACGAGCCGAGGCCGGGGTGTTTCCCACTGCCTAGTAGCTACTGATCTCTCCAACTGCACCCAAGAGCAGATGCTTGGTGACGTAGACAGCAGAGCAGCCGCAGGCACCTTGAGGCTTGGTGACGTAGGCAGCAGAGCAGCCGCAGGCACCTTGAGGCAGCACATATCGCATCGTTGCAAGCAGTGTGGGCAGGCCAATGCAAACAATCTTGTCACCGGTAAGTATAGTCTACCTCTTGTGTTTACACAGTCGCCCACAGTAGCGAACTCACAATTCAATTTTTGTGTCCATTGACAATAGATAACTTCCCTGCTCTAAACATTTCGTTGACCGGTGTCCTTCTCCCCCGTAACTGGTAGAGTTGCGGGGGATGGACTTTGCAGCGGTTCCTTTTGGTCAAACTAGATCTAAGAGTTTGATTGAATCGAATCTTCTCTCGAAAAATTAGAGGTTTTACCAACTTTTACGTGATTTTTCGTTCTTCTTCAATTGCAGTCTCACTTCTGTTTTTAGTCATTTGTTTTATAAATGAAAAACATCTTCCAAAAGAAGCAAATTGAAACAAAACAAGAATTTATGCATAGGTAACTCCCGCAACTCCTCTCTGACCGCGAGCATCAAAGCATTAGAGAAACAAAAGACGGGGGTTTAGAGTAAGCATTAGAGTACTCGTACACTTGAACGTGCCGCAAACATGACCACCCGACCAAACACTTTTCGGGCTGGGCTTTCGTATGCTTTCAGTTCAATTGTTTGTTGCGAGAAGAGCATTTCGATCACAAACCAAAACAACAACAGCAACAACAGCAAAAGCAACCTCAACAATCCAAACAACCACGACAATAATGAGGTCATTCTCTACAATACTGGAAGCATTGGCACATCGTGCCTTGGAAACGCCTGAAAAGAATGTGTTCACATGGGTCGACATCAAATGTAAGGAACAAAACAAGCTGTCGTTCAAAGAGTTGGAGGACCAATCCAATGCCATAGCTGCTCGTCTCCTCAAGCTTGGATGCCAAAAAGGAGACCGTGTCATGATCTCCTATCCCTTTGGCCTTGAGTTCTTGGCTGGCATGATTGGAGCCATGAAGATCGGGGTTATCCCCTGCTCCATCTATCCACCCAATCCCAACCAGCTCAAAACCGATATGCCAAAATTCCGTGGATTTGCCGAGGATGCTGGAGCCAAGTATGCCCTATCCACCTTTGCCTTTGCCACTGCCATGACTGCATCCAGCATCATCTACAAGACTGGAGTGAAGTGGATTGGGACCGACAAACTGCCGATCAAGAAACACAACCCCAAGATGCTCAAAGATTATGAGACCTTTATGGGAGAACCAGACAAAGTCTGCTTTATCCAGTACACGTCGGGCAGTACTGGTTGCCCCAAAGGAGTCATGATCAGTCACAAAAACAGAAAATTGCATTGCTATTTCTGCCATGTCTGGTGTAAATGCATCCAATGCTGGCTCTACACTGGCAGCCTTGTGGGTCCCACAATACCATGGTAGGTCAAATGTATTGTTCCCAATACTGCATTTTTAAGAGCCACAATCATCTCATTTTTGTATTTTCCTTTTGCTCGGATAGACATGGGACTTGTGGCTGGCTTCATGACTACCCTCTATGCTGGAACTTCCCTTGTCATGGCATCACCACTGGATTTTGTGGCCAATCCTCTACTCTGGAGTGATATGGTAGAGACCTACAAGGCCACCCTTACTTGTGCCCCAAACTTTGCATATGCCTTGCTCCTCAAACGAGTAGAGCAGGCCAATCGGACTGCCGACTGGAGCTGTGTAAAGCGTGCCATGTTTGGGGGGGAACCTGCCCAGAGCCATGTTGTGGAAGCAGCAGCAAAAGCCCTTTCAATGAAACCTGAGCATGTCTACAACATTTATGGCCTTGCTGAGTCTGTGGTGTTTCTCACTGGAGGCTCTGCCTACCTGAACTCTGAGGGGCTTGTCTGCTGTGGCGAAGTTGACTCCCCAACCCTCAAACTTCGAATTGTCCAGGATGGCAAAGAGGTTGAGGATGGACATGTTGGGAGTATCTGGGCCCAGTCACCTAGAGTAGCAGCTGGCTACTATGGCCAGTCTGAGCTAACCACTGCAACTTTTGCCAATGCATTGCCCAGCTATGATGGAAGCTGGCTTGATACTGGTGACTTGGGCAAGATTGTGGATGGACAGCTCTATGTTACTGGAAGAGTCAAAGATGTCATCATTGTGAATGGGAAAAACTACTATCCAACTGACGTGGAGCTCTCTATTGATGATATCTTTGGTGATGTTATCCGTCCAGGCAGGACCACTGCCTTTCAGCATGGAGAGGACAGTGTCGGTATCACAGTCGAAGGCCGCAAGGACTTTGACAAGTCAGGAAATGAAGATTTGGCTGTACAGATATCCAATCATGTATCTCAGGTGCATGGGCTTCTTGTCTCTGATGTTGTTGTTCTGAAGTTGGGTGTAACACCAAAGACCACCTCTGGCAAGCTGAAGAGAAGTGAGATCCGACAGACAACTATTTCTGGTGACTGGAAGGAGTCTTCTATACTCCTTCGCTTCCAGCGGAAGGAAGTTGTTACTCCATTTGACGTTGGCAGTGTACCCGAGCTTGGGCTTCCTAACATTGACCTTAGCCAAACATATGCCCTCCCCAGCAAAGCTGTTGAAGCTGTTCATGCTGTAGAGTGCAACCCCAGCAAGTTGGAGGAGTATTTCTCTGAGCTTCACCTTTCTGGGGTCTCTGGCATTGATGAAGCTTGGTCCAAATCCATCAAGACAACAGCTGCATTGCAAGCCATGTGCTCCCAAATCCTGAAGCATCTTGAGGACAAGCACCCAGCCATCTGCCAGCTTGCTCACAGTCTTGTTGTGAATCCAGACTGGATCTTGATTGATGACAGGACCAGTTTCCTTTCTCAACTTGTGCATCAAATCTTCGTTCTGGAATGGGTGACAACCTTCATGATGGACAAACCAGAGTGCATGCAACAGAAGCTGAAAGATGATGCCACATGGGAGGCTCAGAGCCAGAATGTTCAGGCAGTTCCAGTAGAACTACAAGAGATGCTTGATATCCCAGACAAAGACCCAATGTATGGGAAGTGGCCATTCTTCCTTTGGATAAAGAATAGGTCAGTGCTTGCACTACTGAACCTTGTCCTAAAAACTTTGGGCTCAGCTGAAGGCCCAACCATAAATGCACAGGTTGGAAGAATCAATAACCTCCTGTGTTTAAACATGTTAGAGGCCATTTGGGTGGAGCAAAAACATGGACACAAGGAAAACTCAGAAGTCGGTAAGAGACTGGCTACAAATCTTGTAAAGACAGCCACAACCGAATCCAAGAAGGTTTTGATGGAACATGTATCCAATACAAGTGCTATGAATAATCTCTACATTGATTGGCAAATGCATATTGTGGCCTGTAAGTTGATTTTCTCAACAATTCCATTTTGGGAAGTATGGCAAATCCTCACTGTATGCTGTCTTGTTGATTCTTACCTTCAGGGGTTGGAGACAGAAATTCTTCCACATGGTTCTTGTCCAAATTGCTACTACCCAGCATTGTGGGAGATGTCAATGCGCATTTCTTCTATGCAAGGTTAATTAGTCTGCACCTGACTACACAGGCCATGGGCAGGAAGGTGATGTTGAAAAAGTTTCGTAATGAGCCACTTTTATCAAGAAGAGCACTGCATTATTTTGGAAAGCTGAACCTCTCCTGTGCAGAAAAGTTTGGGTACACCCCACTGGCACCAGAGAGTGATCATCAGCTTGCTCTTGATGAAGACTACTGGCTATCCAAGTTTGACAAATGGGGGTTGGCAAACCTTCCAGCAAAGGCGATAAGCACTGGAGACCCCAGGCTGTATGATACTGCAGCTGCAGGAGCTGTTGGCCCAGAAGACTTCTCCACCAGATATGCCAACACCATCACAGCTGTCTTTGGGCATGAAGTTGACATATCAAAATCATGGGCTGAGAATGGACTCACATCTCTCAAGAGTGCTGAGCTGAGGAACAGAGTGGAAGAGGAGCTGCTTGTGGTCCTTCCAGCAAACTTTGAACAGCTCTACCCAACACCAAGTGAACTATTTGTCTTCTTGAAAGCATCAGGGGGCAAAGGCTTTCCAAAGCAAGACATGGACAATCACCCAGCCATTGTTGCAAACCCACCAAGAGTCACAATAAGCAAGCTACAACTTGGATTGATGCAGTTCGTTGGCTCAATCATGGTGCTTTTTTTGATTTTGATCTCCATTGTGCCCTCCTACTTCCTTGCCTCCTGGGTAATGGATCAATGCAGCTCAGCTGAAAGTGGGAAATGTTGGAGTCCAATTGTTTGGATGATAATGCCATTGATCTTCCCTCTGTATATCCTTTCCTTCTCGCTGGATGTGGCCTTCGTCAAGTTTGTCGTCATTGGGGTATATCAGCAAAGACAAATGGAGCTCCTATCATGGGACTACATCCGATGGTGGTTCATGGACCGACTAATTGAGGTCTGGGAGTCAATTGCAGGACAGTTTGTTCTTGAGACAAAGTTCATTTGGGTCTTCTACTGGCTCCTTGGAGCAGACCTGGCATGGTCAGCCAAGATTGAAGCATACATCCGCGAGTTTGACCTAGTAGAGGTGGGCAGCAATGCCACAGTTGGGTACCCCATTAGGTGCAGGAAGTTTTCTCTCTCAACAGGATCAATCCCCAGGATAACATTTCACCCCATCATTATTGGGAAAGACAGTCAGGTGTCTGGGATGGTGAGTCTTGGTGCTGTCATTGGTGATGGTAGCAAGGTGGAGAAACTGTCTGTTGTGGAAGAAGGAGCTATAGTTCCTGATGGTGTGCTTGCAAAAGGAAACCCAGCACGTCATGGTGGATCAGTTGATCATTCCAGATCAGAGATTTGGAAAGAGAACCTTCTGGAATTGTTCAAGATTCTGTGGATGCTTTCAGAAACCTATCATTTTTTCACACTGTCTTACTTGGTCCATATCACGCTCATTCAAATCATGCCCACATGGCGATATGAGATCATCCTGCACTGGCTCCTTCTTTTTCTTGCCTCCTCCTTCCTTGCCCTCCTCACAAGCATTCCACTCAAGTGGCTTTTGATTGGTAAACGGGATCCATGCGATGAGTACGGTGGTTCACTTTATCGGCAAGCAACCAATTGGGCATGTGACTTCCACTTCCGTGTAGCTTCTTGGCCTCTTACTCCATTCTTTGGTCAAACAAGGCTCTGGCACATCATCCTTTTCCTCCATGGCCTTGATGTGGATATAGAATCTTGCATCAGCAACCCATACAGGATCTTCCTCCCGTCCAAAGTTGACTTTGTCAAGATCCACAAATCATTTGTTGCTACCAGCAACATGGATTTAAGTAAGCGAGGAAGGGGCAAGATTGAGATTATCAGCAGCAGCATTGGTTACAATGCGAATCTTCGCGCAGGAGTCAAGATCATGCAATCCACAATCCCACCAAGATCTGATGTCTCAGATAGCATCTATGATTTAAACCAGTCCCGCAAGGCTTTCAAGTCTCGGTTCATCATGGATTTGGTCCTACCTGAGGTTTTGCAAATTCTGCTCAATGTGATCCTTTTTCTTTGTTTTATACCTTCTTTTGAGATTGGCCTTCTTGCTGTAAACAGCGGTTCAGTTGGCATAACCTCATGTGGTCTAGCTGCAGCCATTGTTCTTCAATTGTTTATGTGGATTCTCTTGGCACGAGCTCTTGAAACAATCATGTTGATTCCAAGAAGACATGCCCGACTCACTGGTCCATTTGGTATCTACATCAACCATGTTTGGCAATTCCGAAATGGAAACTGGGTGGAGATGCTTCTGTATGGCACACCAATGTTTGGCTACTATGCTAGGATGATGGGTGCTGAAGTTGATGGTGACCTCTGGTACTATGGAAACTCTATCTATGAATTCACCAAGCTCCACTTTCATGGTGGTACGATTGTGGATGATTCCCATGTTAGTGGTCACTACATTGATGGCAATGGGCTGACTTTGAAGGACACATTTGTGTCAGGGGTGATGCATCCAGGATGCTACGCCTCTGCTGGATCAGTGGTCCCTGGAGAAGAGAATGGTCCATGGAAAGTCTTCTTGAACACTGGTGCTGATATTGGCTGGCCAAGCTTTGTGACTTGTGATGACGAGCCTGTTGATTCGGCCGTTTAGCAACTTGTAAGAATGACATCTACTTTAGATTAGTGCAGAGTCAACATGTTCTTTGGACGGTTATACCTTTGGACTAGACCGTCGCTCCCATGGCTTCTGGAGGCGTCGGATGTCGCACCCATACGGCACGATGTAATGGCGATCGCTCAACCAAAAAGGTGGAGCTGACTTCCGTTTAGGCACGGTATACATCTGACACTGGTATTAACCTCTCCGTTTCCCTCCTACACAGAGAGGATGGAAGTTTGTATGATCATGAATGCTTCTCCTTAGAATTCAGAGTGCGACCATCAAGGTCGACGATCCACTGGAGCCAAAAAGAACACCCCCCTTCCTGAGAGGGACGACGCTTTTGAAAGAAAGCAGGGAGCAATCAAGGATCGAGCATACCTTACGTACACACGTATAACGAGGTCGCCCGACCTGTGCAAGACGGTACCTTTTACGGTATAGGTATAACAACTCCATGGAAGGAGGCATTGAAGCGATAATCTAATCGTCCGCACCGCAGCATCTGTCTGTTGATCGCATGGATCAAAGTTGGAGCGACGGTCAACAAAAATCGGAAACACAAACTAAGTAAGTATGGAAGTAAGCTTCCACGCCCGCAAGAAATAATAGGGGGGGGGTATTAGAGTAGATGGATTATCTACGGAAGCCAGCCAGGGCCAGGCTTAAGCAAAGAAGAGTCAAAATTCAGGAGATGATTATTCGAACTGCATGGTCCATTGCTCCAAAGATGCACCCGCTGCAGCACTCGTGTTGCAACAGAGCACGGGTATGGTTCGATCGGATCGTGCAGTTATGTTTGCCAGCCCACGTATATGGCTGGGAAGTTACTATGGATTATATAGAGAGTGCTAAGATGAGGATGGGGACAGAGCTCGAGGGGAGGGCACGATGCAGGAACGCAAGGCAAGCAATCAAGTGCGCAAGCAGGGCAACATGGAAACCAAGGGGTGAAGGCAGGAGGGCAGGGAGGAGCAAAGGAGCAAGACTTGCGGAAGAGATCGAGGGCACCACGTATATAGCTGCAGCAGGCACATGTACTGTACCGACCCGCATCTCTGTTGCCCTTGTGAAAGCTACCCATTTATGTCTCTGTGGATCCCTCAAAGCTAACCCATTTGGCCCCCGCAATGGTCCTCACTTTCTCACCCCTGATCCCAAAGAACCCTGTCCTGAATTTCGACTGTCCTTTGCTGAAGCCTGGCCCCAGCTGGCTTCGGTAGATAATCTACCTACTCTAACCCCCTTAGACTGTACTATCCGTTATTAGACGTTCAGTTTTTTTGTTGTTGTACCGTACATACTTATTCCGCGATCGCTCGAAGTATCGAGCCCATGAATGAAAATTTTCGTAGCATTGGGACGATCCTCGCGCCCTGGATTTCGATCGCTAATCTTTTGTCCTCTCTCCCATGTCCTCATTCAGGCTAAACTTTCTCGTTTGGTTTGTATGCTCACTCCTTAATGTCTGACTCACACCCCTGTATTCTCACCACTGGGGGTCCCTCCCAACCCATACACCCTTCTAGACGATTTTCGATTATTAAAAAGTGTTTGCTTCCAACAACGACAGAAGAAGAGGACGTTCGGCTCTGCGGTCGCAAAATAGTACAGTATACATGCGACTCAAATCTCCAGTTATAGAGCAGCTGGCCTACTAACAAGGCACAACTGTACATGACAGCAATGTGAGGTCACGGCCATTGGGAGCATTCAAGAACGAGGTTCATGCTTCGCAAAAGGGACAGCGAGATGCGGATCATGGGGCCGTTTCTGCATGGTTTTTGTCCGCCCAAAGTGACAATCCGGAGAAAGCTCGTCACAGAGACCAGACGGTACATGCGCAGAAGCTGCAGAGACCAAAACTACAGCCTTTTAGTTTCGTTCTTGGTTGCGTGCATGGACATGAAGGATCGAGATAATCTACCTACTCTACCGCATATAAGCTGTTGGGGCGCGATACATCTACAGGTTCCACGGCGAGGATTTCGCTATTTTTAAAAACCAACAGAACTGCCAATGTCAATGACTCGGACCATTCTGATTTTAAATATCTATTCGGAGCACTTTCGTCGCGCAGGCACTAGCTAGCTAGTAGTAGACTAATGAGATTACCACTGGAGTATCCAGGAGGAGCTCGCTAAACTCCACTCAGTAAGCCCAAGTCAAATACTCCAGAGTACAGCGTGACAGACAACATGATAGTTAGACACCATGCCACCAAACTATCGCACGATAGGTTACAATTGTGTGAAAAGCCCGAGAAAAAGCGACGGCAACAATGCATTGGAGTACGCCATGGAGAGGACCAAGACCGAGCAGGCCAACCGCGGATGTGAGGAGAAGGAAAGACCTTGAGAATGAATTCCTGAAGATATCCGATGGCTCTATCTTGGTTCTCGTCTGGTCTGGACTATACCCCTCCATATGACACGTACTGTCCGATTGGCTTCCGTAGATAACCTCCCTACGCTAAACCCCCTTGTCGTCTTCGACATGCCCTGCATTTTGGCCGAAGGGTCTAGTATATGGCTGACGCCTCACCCCAGTACTTGTACACTCAGAGAGTGCCCGACGTTTGTCTGCCACTGCATCTCTGGTTGTTGCGTTTTGACGAGTGCAATTACCGTCGCGCGACAGATCACGTGAACAGCAGGACCAAAAGGGATTGAAGATTCAATCATTCATCGAAGCATGCTGAAGAGCGGTAATCAAGGGGACTTCTGGAAACCATCGGGCGGCACGAAAATAGCTAGCTAGCCAGCTACAACGACATTAACCATTGTAATGGCTTTTATTTTAGGATCCTAGATCAACATGTTGCTGGTGCTGTGCCGTTGGTCTTGTGGTGGGGTGTAAGGGAATCGCAGGAGCATTGGAATTAGCAGCTGCCCTAAGCCAATCCTGTCGGCACCGAACCTCCCCGAGAGGAGTCAAGGAGCCCAGCAGTGCACGGTGCAGGTATGGCCTATTACAAAGTAGATAACGAGCCTTTTGAGCTCACAATAGCAAACTACTAAAACTACAAGCCCCAGGTAGTTGTGTCACACGCTTCCTCAACGCAAAGAGGATTCAACATCCAAAAGCACTGGTCACGACGAATGATCTCCAACCTCTACCAATCTCCAACCTTCTATACCACGGCGCTGCTCCGTGATTCGACATTGCGTCGCAGCATCTACCTATCTCGTAACGACTATCCGCACCGTGCCCTTATCACCAGCACTCATTCCCACTTTCTCCGCTAACCAGTGTGACTGACTGGAGAGTCGAAGACATATCTATTGTCTCTCCTTTAGCCTGGAACAGTCTATTCCTACGTGTTCCCCGGCTGGAAAATTCAACCTGCCACCAAGCTCCAACCTGCTACCAGCCACGTCGCTGCACATTGGTCATTGTCACCGCATCTATCGCCACGATCGGCGCCTTTCCGACTCTTACAAACACCCTGTCACCGCATCTAGCTACCTGGTAGCGACCACCGGCGCCGGCAAACACTCGACTTTGGTTGTCCGTCGCACAATCATTCCCAGTTTCTCAGCTAACCACTTTGCTCGAAGACATCTTTTTTGTCTCTTCCCCACCTTGAGACAGTCCTGTGAAACCTCTTCCTGCATATTCCCCGACTGCCAGGGGAAGTGCCTCAAACCGACTGAGTCACTCATTGTTTCTTTTCTTATCTTCTCCCAGCTTCCTGATTCATTCGCCAAGCCCTTTAATTAAATTTTATTCACGTTTTACCACCTTCAACCGCTTGCAATTACCAACTACCACCCAACGTACCGTAGTTTACCGTTTAGTCATCTTTGACCGTGTTTAGCCACTCTTCACCACTCTCAACCACTCTCAAGCGCTTTTTTGTGTCTATTGTGCCTCTTTTCAGCCATCGAGTGAAGGAATGTGTATAGGTGGTTGGGGATATATTCAAACGGAGTGATTCGAGACACCCCCTGGAAATTCGGCATGACCCTGCACGGAAGCTCGGTACTAGGAGATTTATCCACTTGATTCTTGGTGGTCTACACGTCTACGCCACTTTCGAAGTCGACGAATGCACGAAAAGCCTGGAGATGGACAACCACTTTCCAAGCCGGTATCAGGCAGCGACGCAGGATGCTGGGCAGCGTCTGCTCCGCTTACCAGAACACACAACAACGATGGACTGTTTCAACAGAACCGGACTACTAGCCAGTATCTCACAATGCGAGATTCATTGCGATTTCCACGAAACTCTCCCAAAGGCCCCAATACGTGAAACGATTACAATGCCATTCTTCCATACCATCCTTGAGGCATTGTGCCACCATGCCACTGAAAGTCCCAATAAGGTTGTCTTTACATGGGTGGATCTCAAGTGTAAAGAGCAAAACAAGATGACATTCAAACAACTGGAGGAACAGTCGAACACTGTGGCTGCTTGTCTCCTCAAACTTGGATGTCAAAAGGGAGATCGTGTCATGGTTGCCTATCCCTTTGGGCTCGAGTTCTTGGCTGGCATGTTCGGTGCCATGAAGATTGGAGTCATCCCTTGCTCCATCTATCCACCCAATCCAAATCAGCTCAAGACTGATATGCCCAAGTTCCATGGATTTGCCAAGGATGCTGGAGCCAGATTTGCCTTATCCACCAGTGCCTTTGCCGCTGCCATGACTGCTGCTAGTGTCCTCTACAGGACTGGCGTCAAATGGATCGGAGCTGACAAACTAAAAATCAAGAACCACAACCCGAACAAGCCCAAAGATTATGAGACCTTTGTGGGGGAACCAGGAGACATCTGCTTCATCCAATACACCTCTGGCAGTACGGGTCGCCCCAAAGGAGAAATGATCAGTCACAACAATCTAGGAGAAAACTGTAGGACCATTGGTGCTTCCACCCAGATGACATCTACTTCAGTGACTGCATTGTGGGTACCTCAGTATCATGGTAAGTTTTGAATAATCAGCAAATCAATAATTGTGCCATGCTTATCCACTCATCCCAATCTTGTAGATATGGGACTTGTAGGTGGCTTCATGTCCTGTCTGTATTCTGGTGTCACCCTTGTCATGACTTCACCTCTGGACTTCCTATCGAAACCAATTATTTGGTCCGATATGATTGATGCATATCAGGCAACCCACACCTGTGCCCCTAACTTTGCCTACGCCTTGCTCCTAAAGCGGTTAAAGGAAGCCAACAGGACAGCTGACTGGAGTTTTTTGAAGTTCGCTGGGTTTAGTGCTGAACCAACCCAGCAACGTGTTGTGGAGGATGTGGTAAAGACTCTGTCAGTCAGGCCAGGAAATGTTCACAACCTCTATGGCCTTGCGGAGTCAGTTGTGTGGCTTACAGGGGGGCCTGCCATTCCAGACTCTGAAGGTCTTGTCTGCTGTGGAGAAGTAGACTCCCCAACCCTCAAGATCCGAATTGTCCAGGATGGAAAAGAGGTGGAAGGTGGACAGGTCGGAAGTATCTGGACTCAGTCACCCCGTGTGGCTGCTGGGTACTTTGGCCAACCTGAGCTGACAACTGCAACTTTTGCCAATGAGCTCTCTGGTTATGATGGGCCCTGGCTAGACATTGGTGATTTGGGGAGAGTTGTCGATGGGCAGCTCTATGTCACTGGAAGAGTCAAAGATGTTATCATTATCAACGGCAAGAACTACTACCCAACAGATGTGGAATCATCTATGGATGATGCCTTTGGTGACATAATCCGTCCTGGACGCACCACGGCTTTCCAGTATGGCGAGGATAGTATTGGCATCACAGTGGAGGCCCGTAAAGGGTTTGACATGTCAGTAGACAAAGACTTGGCCATTCAAGTATCCAACCATGTTTCAGAACTTCATGGGCTGTTTGTCTGCGAGGTTGTTGTTCTGAAAATAGGTGTGACCCCAAAGACCACCTCTGGTAAGCTGAAGAGGAATGAGATTAGGCAGACAACCATGGCTGGTGATTGGAAGGAAGCTTCTATTTTCCTTCATTTCCAGTGAAACATCATGACCACTACCACAATGGAGAGGATTAGGACATATCCAAGTAATGTTCTTCCAGGCATAGTCACTGAAGCTGTTCAAGCCATTGAGTGCATCCCCGCCAAGTTGGATGATTACTACTATGAGCTGAATCTTGATGGAATCCATGGGATTTGTGAGGCTTGGTCCAAAGCTGTGAAGACAACAGCAGCAATGAAGACCATGTGCTCTCAAATTTTGATACACATTGAGAACAAGCAACCCACAATCTGCCAGCCTGCACACACCCTTAGCGAAAACACTGATTGGATTTTGATTGAGGAAACCATGGATTTCCTTTCTCAGCTTGTGCACCAAGTATTTGTTCTTCAATGGGTGACAACCTTCATGATGGACCACCCTGAATGCATGCAGCAAAAGTTGCAGAAGGATGCAGAATGGGAAAGCATGAGCCAGAGTATTCTAGCAGTCCCAGTGGAGCTACAAAAGGTGCTAGACCTACCTGAGAAAGACCCAATGCATGGAAAGTGGCCGTTCTTCATGTGGATCAAAATCAGGTCAGTTGGTGCCTTTCTGAAGCTGATTCACAAGAGCTTGGAGTCTCCTGATGACCCAGCTATCAACACACAAATTGAGAGGATCAACAAACTTTTGAACCTGAATCTGTTGGAGGCTATTTGGCTCGAACAGACTAATGGGCTCAAAGACAATTCTGAGGTGGGAAGACTTCTTGCAACTTATCCTATTTTGGAAGCTACAGTCAAATCCAAAACGGTTCTCTTTGAACATTCAACTTCTGTGTGGAATGATCTGTACATTGCCTGGAACATGCATTTTGTATCCTGTAAGTTGGTTTGTTGAGTGATGTCAACTCCATGAGTGCAAAACCTCATTGCTTGAGTCATTCATATTTCCTTTATTGTGATCGAGGGATTGGCGACCAAGACTCGTCTACCTGGTTGCTTGCCAAGTTGCTGCTGCCAAGCCTTGTTGGAGATGTCAAAGGAGCTTTTTTGTATGCCAGGGTCATTAGTTTGTACTTGGCATCTCATACTATTGGAAGGAGAATGAGCTCCTCAAGGCATTACACCAAGGCAATCTTGTCAAGAAGAGCACTCCAAGTTTTTGGAGAGTTGAACCTCTCCTGGGCTCAGAAGCTTGGAAACACCCCACCATCAGCAAGAAGCAAAGTTGAAACTGCATCCAATGAAGCAGCCTGGCTTTCCAAGTTTGACCTGTGGGGAAAGATGAACAATCCTGTAACAGTTGATCAAGCACATGCAGGCACCCTAGATACCAATGTTGATTTCACTTGCAGAGAAGCCACAGATTGCTTCTCTGAGAAGTATACCAACACTATCACATCTGTCTTTGGTTCTGAAGTTGACACATCAAAATCATGGGCTGAGAATGGACTCACATCACTTAAGAGTGCTGAGTTCAGGAATAAGGTAGAGGAAGAGTTGCATGTGGTTCTCCCGGTCAACTTTGAACAGCTCTACACAACGCCAGAGGCGCTTTGCAACTTCTTGGAGTTATCAGAGGTGAAAACATTCAAAAAACAAGACCTGGCTGGTCATAGAGACCTTCTTCGGAGCTCACCAAGATCAAGTCTCAGAAAACTACACCTTGGGGTCCTCCAAACCATTGGATCAATTATGATTCTTCTGCTGGTTTTGATTGCTTTTGTCCCACCATACCTACTCATCTCCTGGGTTGTGGACAAGTCCAGCTCAGCTGACACCCAGAGCCCAATTGCTTGGATTATAATGCCATTGATGTTCCGTCTGTATATCCTGTCCTTCTCACTGGATGTGGCCTTCTTCAAGTTTGTTGTCATTGGGGTATATCAGCAAAGACAAATTGAACTCCTATCATGGGCCTACATCCGATGGTGGTTCATGGATCGACTAATAGAGGTCTGGGAGTCAATTGCAGGACAATTTGTTCTTGAGACAAAGTTTATTTGGGTCTTCTACTGTCCCCTGGAGCAGACCTTGCACAGTCAGCCAAGATTGAATCCTTTATTCGCGAGTTTGACCTTGTGACACTTGGTGACAATACGGTCATTAGCCACCCAATGAAGTGCCGGAAGTTCTCCCGTTCAAAAGGAGAGCCAAACCCCAAGATTGGATTCTATCCTATTGTGGTAGGAAAGAAATGCAAGATCTCTGGCATGGTTAGCCCTGGGGCTGTGATTGGAGATGGCAGCAAGGTGGATAAGTTGTCTGTTGTTGAGGAGGGAGCCATAGTACCAGATGGTGTCCTTGCCCAGGGAAATCCAGCATATAATGCTGGCTTATTTGAACATCAAGAATTACACCATTTGGAAGAGTCCATGTTAGAAACCTTCAAGATATTCTGGACAGTCCTTGAAGCCTATCATTTCTTTGCCCTCTCCTGCTTCGTCCATGCCTCACTGAGCTCAGTGTTACCAGCTTGGCGCTATGCCACAATGCTCCATTGGATTTTGCTGTTTCCCATCTCCTCTCTGCTTGCACTTTTCACAAGTATTGCTCTCAAATGGGTGCTGATTGGGAAACGAGACCCATCGGATGAATATGAAGGGTCACTCTATCGCAAAGCAACCAATTGGGCATGTGACTTCCACTTTCGGATTGCAGCTTGGAATCTTGCTCCTTTCAGTGGCCAGTCCAGACTCTGGAACTTAATCCTTTTCTTACGTGGTCTTGATATTGACATGGAATCGTGGCCGGACAATCCGTACTTCATCTTCCCACCCTCAAAGGCTGACTTTGTGAAGATCAGAAAGTCATTTGTGGCAACAATCTCACTTGACTTCAGCAGGAAGGGGAACTCCAAGATTGAGATCATCAACAGCAGTGTGGGCTACAATGTCAATCTGCATGCAGGTGTAAAGATCATGCAATCTACAGTCCCTCCAAGGACCAATGTGCCCGACAGTATCTACGACTTGAACCAGTTAGGCCAGCCTGTGAACATGAATTTGCTTCTTCCTGAAGTCTTACAGGTGTTGTTGAATACAGTCCTGTTTGTCTCCCTCATTCCTGCCTATGAATTGGGTCTTGTTGCAACCAAGAGTTCTTCCATCATGGTCACAACCTGTGGCTTGGTAGGTGCCTTCATCCTGCAATTGCTTGTATGGCTCCTATTGACTGGGGCAGTTGAGAGGTTGCTTTTGGCCTTGCCCAACCAACTTCAATATAATCTTTTTGGGATCTACCTCAACCATGTCTGGATTTTCCGCAATCAAAACTTGCTTGTTTACCTTCTCTATGGCACACCCATGTTTGCCTGGTTTGCCAGCTTCATGGGAGCTGAAGTTGATGGGGAGTTGTGGTACTTTGGTAACACACTCTATGAATATGGCAAGCTGCATTTCCATGGATGCACTGTTATTGACGGCTCCAGCTTGAATGGTCACTACATTGATGGCAAGGGGCTAACAATCAATGACACATATGTGTCTGGTGTTGTGCATCCTGGATGCTTTGCTGTTGCTGGCTCCAAAGTTGCTCGTGAAGAAAATGGTCCTTGGAAGGTCTTCTTGAACACTGGTGCTGATATTGGTTCTGCCAATAGGTGGCCATCTATCAGGAAGCAGTCACCAAGCTGTGTGACTTATGATGACGAAAATGTTGATTCGGCAGTGTAGAAATTTGTAAGAAAAATTCAATTTTTTGGATTAGAGCATGGTAAACATGTATAGGTGCATTGGACGGTTTGGGGAGCTCAAAGCGACAACGGGGTGCCTTGGACGGTTTGGGGATCTCAAAGCACCAACGATCGACCTCTAATAAATCCCCAAACTGGCGCTCTATAATCCTCCGCCCCCAGTATACTCTCCACTGGACTCCCATGGCTTCTCTTCCAACGACGCTGGATGTCGGACTGCGATTAGACCCAAGAGGCGGGGCTGACTTGCGTAAGGCAAAGCAACCTTTTGAAACCGGTAACAAAGTTTCCATTGTTCGTCTATATACAGAGGATGGACGTTTGTTTGATCATATTCCGAAGAATTCAAAGAGTGCGTCCATCACGTTTCACCCCTACGAGTTCCCCCTCCCGAGAAGAATGATTCCGTGGCAATTGAGCAAATTCATGAAGCAACAGCGACATGTGTGGGGGTCAGCTATGCCATCACAGCAAGCATCGAGCATACGTATACCATACCGTACGTTCGGATGTCGACGGCAACATTCCTAGCTAGATAGGATCAACTCTATGGAGGCATGCATACCGTAGGATGTCTTGCGGTCCGTCTTGCTCGGCAGTTGGAGCGACGATGCCATGGGAAGTCGGCAACAAAGTACTGTAAGGAAGTATCCACGTACGTATATACGTAGGACGATTGAAGGTGGATCGAATCGAATGGACTCCTTCGAACTGCACCCGTGGCAGCTCCAGGGCTCCAAAGATGATGCATGGCGTCCCTCAGCTGCATGCGTGCAGATATAGTTAGTTGCCAATAATGCAAGCAACTTGATCTTAATCATTCCAGTCAAGTGGAAGAATGGATGTCGTAGCTGTGGCGAGCGAATACAGGAACGTACAGATTGTGTAGTCCCCGATCGATTGATCAATCGATCGAGCGAGCCAGCCATGAATGAATCAAAAAATTCCAACGGTATCGGTACGATGGAGGAGAGATGCCAACACGCCGCACCCTTGAGCTCCACCACAACACTGCGACCACTAGATAGCGGTAGCTGTACTCGAATCGAATCTTCTCAAATAGAGGATGTGGCGTGTTCCTTGCTGTTTGGGGGTCTATCGATAGCTAGACAAGGGAGTATATCGATCATACAGAAGCCGGCAATGGGCCCAACACGAAGTTCAGGACTAGCTAGTAGCTAGTAGTACATGTATAGGTTCCGTGGGATCAGTTGGGTTTGGTTGGGTTTGGTTTGGTTTGGTTTCAAGGCATCTTTACCATATTGTTTGGTTTACCATGACATCAAAACGCAATGGAACGTAGATAATCTACCTACTCTATCAACCCCCCGTCATTCATGAAAGATGCTACAGTACCGTAAATTCTTTTTTAGGACTGAAGGTTTAAATTCGAGTTCCGATGACATAAACCCCGTGCACCACATCAACCCCCCTGACTCTCTCACACAAAACACGTTCACCCACACATTCCTGGATACTTGCATGTCACGTCATATCTAGTACAATACCGTCGCGTGACAGATCACTTCATCTGAGCATGCTGAAGAGCGGTAATCAAGAAGACTTATGGAAAACCAACAATAGCTAGCCAGCTACAAAGACAGGAGTTTTTGAGCTCACAATAATAGCAAAGCACAAAAACTAGACCTACGTGTTGCACGCTTATTCCTCTGCGCAATGAGGATTCGACAACCAAAAGCACTGGTCGCGATGAATCTCCAACCAGGCTACCACGGCGCTGCTCGGTGATTCGACATTGCAAAGCTGTTGGCCCTGGTCTCCTCATCTATGTGGACCATTGGTGACGTTCGAACATTGTAATTCCGATCACAACAAACACTATGCAGCTTTGGATCCACGGTGACAATCATTCCCACTTTCTCCTCTAACCAGTGTGACGGACTGTAGAATCAAAGCCACACATCGTACATAATATTTAGATCTCCTGAACATTCCCCAGCAATCTTGTGAAACCCCTTCCTGCATAAGTAAGTAGCGCGGAATAAAGGGGACACCTTCTTATTCCTGTTCCCCAGTTTGGAATTCGGAATGACCCTGCACGTCCGACTGTTACTCAAGTCAAGTCATTGAAGTCGGCAGCGTCACTGGTGCTTGCTTCTCAATATGGTCCACACATCTGCTCATTTAGTTGAAGCTGCTTCTTTTGTTGTTGAAGCTTCTCGGTGGTACACACCTACACATATTTGAAGTTGAGTTCGTGCATCCTGCCTTCTCTCCTCTGCCATCCATCCTCCCCATGCATAGTCCCCTCTAACCCATAGTAACGCACTTCTTCTGCAGGGTGTGGAAATGGGACTTAAATCACCAATCTGTGTGAAACTAACGGCTAGTTTCACGCAGTGTTTCACGCGTAGTTTCACGCACGTGTGAAACTGTTACTAGTTTCACGCAGACCTGCGTGAAGTTTGTCGTCATTGGGGTATATCAGCAAAGACAAATGGAGCTCCTATCATGGGACTACATCCGATTGTGGTTCATGGACAGACTAATCGAGGTCTGGGAGTCAATTGCAGGACAATTTGTTCTTGATACAAAGTTTATTTGGGTCTTCTATTTGCTCCTTGGAGCAGACCTACGTGGTCAACCAAGATTGAATCATACATCCGTGAGTTTGACCTGGTGAAGGTGGGCAGCAATGCCACCATTGGGTACCCCACTAGGTGCAGGAAGTTTTCTCTCTACACAGGATCAAGCCGCAGGGTAACATTCCACCCCATCAATATTGGGAAATACAGCCAGGTGTCTGGAATGGTGAGTCTGGGTGCTGTTATTGGTGATGGCAGCAAGGTGGAGAAACTGTCTGTTGTTGAAGAGGGAGCTATAGTTCCTGATGGTGTGCTTGCAAAAGGAAACCCAGCACGACATGGTGGATCATTTGCAATAACTTTCAGTTCCAGTACTCAAGTAGTGGACTGGGTCTCGCTGAAACCCTTCCTCAGGGACAGCGGTAGTCAGGCAGCGTAGGGAGCCTTGTCGTGCCTCAGGAGTGTCCAACACCTCCAGTAGGCACCCAAACCAAGGACTTGGCCCTGTCAGTCAGACAGGAGGCCAGAAGAGCTCTGCTGGGCCCTTTTGGGCCAGCTCACCTCAGGAGCCTTTGCTATTCAATCGTTGTGGGGCAGTCTGGGAACAGTACTATCTGCTACCTCCTAAGTACTGCTTCTGTCCGGCCTCAACAGAGATAAGGATCAACTGCTCAGGTATCAAAGGGGCTACAAGCTAATCAGGATCGATCGGTCTCAATCTTTTGTACCATTTTTTTAACGATGGGAGAATCGAGCATTCTCTCCTGCTGCGTTTGATGCTTACCAGTGGAGATAAGCCAGCTGTGGGTGCTGGAGCTGTATGCCAGCATAGCTGTTGGAGCTATCTCTGACGGAATCCAGAGCTCTCGCTCCTAGACTACATCACTCCCCACGAGTGCGAATGGATCCGCTCTCATGGGTCTGCCACGAGTAAAAGACCAGTTACTAACTAACTATCTACAAACTCACCGCATGAACGCCACTCGGCATCGGCTGCTAGTGGAACACAAGGTGAGATGGGAGATCTCACAAGTGGAGGGACTTGATTGGTTGGTCGGTTGCTAGACCAAAGGTAGGCAAAGGAGTTGCCTGCTTCGTCAGCATGACCAGACTCGGTAGGTGTCGGCAGTGTTTGTTGCTATTATAGCTGTTGTTCTTTTTTTCTTTCTTCATATAATGCAATGACAAATATTCGTGGCTTTGCCACGGGCCGAATTCAGCGGTGGCAAGCTCTCAGTGGAGCGGCCTTTCTTGCCCCGCAATCGTGTCCCTTGCTGGATGGGATGGATGGGCTGTACCAGACAGGGACGTAGTCTAGTTGCCCATCCAAAAATCCAGGGACGGTGCTAGCAGCACGGACTGGGGGGCTCCAATCCTGTGAGCCATCATGGAAGCAAACACATGATGCAACCAAATGCCAAACACTTGAGGGCTCCCCATTGCCTTGGAGGCAGAGGAGACTGAGACCTTGGTGGTTAGGACATTGGCCTCGTCTGATGGTTGGGCTGAGTTGCTGCTGTCAACCATTGGTGGTGGTTGGCGACTAGATGGCATTGCTGCTAATGGAATCCTCTCATTCGGCACAAGCCTGGTGGCACTGGGAGTACCAAAGAGAGGTGGCTCTGCCAGAACCGAGTTGGTTGCCTTGGGTGTCGCCTTGATGGGCAAACCGTGGGGCATCCAACATGGGTTGGTTGTTGTCTGTCAAACAAAGGACGTGCGGTCCTTCTTGGAAGGGACAACCGAGGTATTGATTACAGGCGGGACATCCTGGAATGATGGAATTGTCCTGCTAGAATCGTTGTTGCTGTGGGCTACAGTACTAACCTCCCCATAAGCCAATGTAGGAGCTGGGTGACTACTGGAGCTGGAGGTAGGCAGCTCTGTAATCTCCCCATCACCCAGGGATGCATAGGGAGCACCAGCTAGGGCAAATGGTTGTACTGGAGCAACCAAGGGTGTGGCATTGGGCAGCTCGTTGCTGGCCGCAACTGCTTGCAAAGGACAAGTGGCTGGCAACTCCCCACAAGCTGGCTGCGGAGGTGGCTGGTGGTTGTGCTGCCTGGCCCTCGAGGCGGAAGCAAAGAGGGCCTCTGCTAGTTGCCCCTGTGTGGGCTTGGCACTAGTGGCAGGCAACTCCCCACAAAATCGCTTGGGAGATGCGTGATACCGGTTGTGCCTTCTGGTCCTGGATATCCAGACTCTTCAAGATGGCCTGAACCGTATCCTCCTGGGTTCTTGTAGGGGAACTATGGCTAGTTGTTCTTGGGCTAGCCTGTTTCCTTGGTTCTCGAGCTTTGGAGGTGTTCCGTGATGGTGGAGGAATCACTGTGGGTGTGTAGAGTGACATGGTGCCTCTTGTTGTCTGCCACAGGAAGAAGTGGAGCTTGTACCTGGGAAACACTGGAATCCACCTGTTGTAGCAGCACAATAAGGCTGGCTCAACTTTCGCTGGGAACACACAAAGGGGACTTCCAGGGACCTTGCTGCGGGCCTAGAAAATTCAATTTGGTGGTAATTGAATAAGGTAGCCTTGGTGCAAGCTCTGAAACAAGCGTCCTGTATCACCGTAGTGCTTGGAACCGACTTGGATTGGTGAGATTTTGCCACACTGGAAGCAGCTTACTGGGACCAATGAATCTCCCCACAAAAGCTCCCAATATACAAAGGGAGGTACCCACTGACTAAACAAAGGATGGCGGATTCACTGGTGACACTTTCAGCCAAGCAAATTGGCGCCTTGGTCGTCTCGTGGTCACTCCGAGTTGCCTCTTCAATAGATCACTCTGTATGGAGATGATCGCAATCTCCAGCGGATTTCAATGACTCGGCGACGAAGAATAGTACTCGCAAATCACTTAAAAAATGTGAGCGCAAACAGGTTACCGACGTTGAGCCTGCTTTCGGATCGGGGAACGTTGCTCGTATAAGTCTTCGAGCGGTACCAGAGGATCCAGGATTGAAAAGGCTTCTTGTACGTTCCGTGCGATGTTGCAAACTGACTCAGTGCACTCGTGATAACTACCGAAACTGCACGGACGATCTGATTGGCTGGTCAGCTTCTGAAAAAGAATGTCGTGTTGTTCTAGGAAGAAAACTTGTGTCACTCCGAAACTGCATGGACATTCGGATTGGTTGAAAGGCTTCTGTAAAAGAAGCGTTTCATTGTGCAAAACTGACTCGGTGAACCTCATATAAATCAAGTAATCCACCCAAGCGACATCAAAGCGTGCGTGCCAATTGCCTGCCCGTCGTCGACAAAGCACTCAGGGACAAGCATGCACGCACCGTGCAGAACAATGAAACAGGGTAACTACACACAGAGGGGGTCTTACCGTAGAAATAGATGGCAATCCAGCCAGGAGTAGTTAGATAGTTGCAAAGCACCCTTCGGAGTTTTTAAACTTCTCCGGTGGGGGGCTTGCACTAGGCCGGTTCCTATGTGGGCGTCCTTGTACGTCTGAGGTACTCCGGTTCAATATGGCTCCGTTCAGCGGGTGGTCTATTGAGGTGCAGCCTAAATAATAAAACTTCGTTATTTTTTTAATAAATCAAGTAATTCACTGAAAAACTGCAAGCAATAAGCCCGTACTCAAAAGAGATAAGCAACGCACAACGCAATAAACAGCCGTTGCCTCACAAATTCCTCAGGACGTAAAAGATATAATTGCTTGCCAAGAACGCAACAAGTCTCCTGTTAACTCGGAGACTCCAGCTGTTCATTGGAAGGACCGAACTTCTTTCGAGAGATTTGCGGATGCTTTTCCTCGCTTCGTTGCTAGCTCTAGCTAGCTGGCTATCGTCGGCAACTTTGTGTGTTGTCAAGATGGGAGTTTGTAAAGGTCCTTTGGTGACGGCAATGGGCTTTGTGTTGGCCTTATAGTCGGAAGATGGCCAAGTCAAAGGTTCCTGTCACTGTGGTGATAGCTGGAACTATCAAAATCGATCAGAAGGTTGTTGACTTAGGACTTCGAATGTAGGCTTTGAAGTGCACTTCAAATTCCGATGAAATCCAATGAATCCTACTGTAGCTGTAGTGTAATGCGAAGAGATCAATTTCTCGTCACTTGAGGAGGTCTCTTCTTCCTTTAAGAACTGCCTGCAAATCTATGCGACTGTTAATCCAATAACTTTCAGTTCCAGTACTAAAGTAGTGGACTGGGTCTCGCTGAAACCCTTCCTCAGGGACAGCGGTAGTCAGGCAGCGTAGGGAGCCTTGTTGTGCCTCAGGAGTGTCCAACACCTCACCTCAGGAGCTGGAGCCTTCGCTATTAATCGTCGTGGGGCAGTCTGGGAACAGTTGTATCCGCTACCTCCTACTGCTTCTGCTCGGCCTCAACAGGATAAGGATGAACTGCTCAGGTATCAAAGAAGGGGCTACAAGCTAATCAGGATCGATCTCAATCTTTCGTACTATTTTCTTGACTATGGGAGAATCAAGGTGCAAAGGATTCTCCCTTGCTTACCAGTGGAGATAAGCCAGCTGTGGGTGCTGGAGCTGTTACAGTAGGCCAGCATAGCTGTTGGAGCTATCTCTGACGGAATCCAGAGCTCTCGCTCCTAGACTTTATCGATTTGAGCACTCCAGATCAGAGGTTTGGCAAGAATCTTTTCTGGACATTTTCAAGATTCTGTGGATGTTTCAGAAGCATATCATTTCTTCACACTGTCTTACTTGGTTCATATCACGCTCATTCAAATTATGCCCACATGGCGCTATGAGATCATCCTGCACTGGTTCCTCCTTTTTCAAGCCTCCTACTTCCTTGCCCTCCTCACAAGCATTCAACTCAAGTGGCTTTTGATTGGTAAATGGGATCCGTGTGACAAGTATGGCGGTTCATGCTATCGCCAAGCAAGCAATTGGGCATGCGACTTCCACTTCTGTGTAGCTTCTTGGTCTCTCAATCCTTTCTTTGGGCAGACAAGGCTCTGGCACATCATCCTTTTCCTCCATGGCCTTGCTTGATGTGGATATAGAATCTCGCATCAGCAATCCATACAGGATCTTCCTCCCATCCAAGCTTGACTTTGTCGAGATCCGCGAATCGTGGGCCAAACCAAAAAGCATCGACCTCTGACACAGGTGCCTGGTCAGGTCCACACCTGTCAGGATACCAAGGGTTGTCACTGTAAGGTGTGATGTGGCTGTGTAGTACCTGTGGTATAGCACTGAACAGTCAGTGGTGGTGACCAGACAAAAATCTCGCGGCGCGCCAAGTCATAATTGGATGGAAGATTTAAGGGGCGGGGCAAAGACTTAGAGAACAAAGACTTAGAGAACAAAGTCAAAGCCTTAGAGGCCCCCATGTGCTTTTCAAGCATCGACTTCGCGTGAAGAACTTTTCGTGCATCAAATTAAAATATTTCCAGTGTCACGCGATGACGTCAGTCGGGTTCCGGATTTTAAAGCGGAGGTGAAATCCAATCCGGTTAGGAGTTCGAAGACATAGAGGCCAACCAATCCTGCCAAGAGCACAAGACTTAGGGGCCGAACAGCCGAAGACTTAAGGGCCGATCCAGCTTTTGTTGTTGTTGTTGTCGAAAATCGCGAAATCGCGAAAATCGACCATGGCCCTAGAGTCGGGACACACGGCGACAACAGCGGCACCAGTTGGAGCACCAGTTGGTGAACTTCAAGGCCGAGGAAGCAACTTTAGGGCCAGTTGGTCGAGGAGGGGAGTCGAAGCACCAGTTGGTGTCGCTCAAGATGAGGTGCCAGTAGGCGGGGCTAGAGAAATCACCAATTGGCGAATGACTCATCATGGCAGGGGGCTAGAGAAACACCAGGCAGTGAACTCATCATGGCATTGTGGCTAGAGAAGCAGCAGGCGGTGAACTCATCATGGCCTGTGGCTAGCAGAAGCATCATGGCCAGAGGATCAAAAAGTCATTGGCCGAAAAGCACAACAACACCAACGAACGATCGATCGTTCAACAAATAACAGAGCTCCTGTGACCGGACCAACGGCATACAGTGGTAGGAGGGGGTAGCGGTAACAGTAGGCTAGTAGCAATAGCAGTAGCCATAGCCGTTCGGTCAAACGAAAAAAAGGACATCATTGTCCTCTTCCTTTAGTGACTGCTCAGAGCAAGGACACTATTGCCCTCTTCCTTTGGTGGCTGCTCAGAGCAATGAGTGGCTTCTAGCACTATCTGCAGTGGCAGCCAGTCTAATTGGAGCATGTGTGCTACCACATTGCTCCGCTTAGAGTTATGGCTACAGGAGCCTTCCTCGACTCCCAGCCACCACCTCAGCTGTCCGCAATCTGGTTGGCATATGCAGTTCACTAGGACTATTTAGGTACAACCAAATACACCTAGAGTATGTGGTGTCGGAACGATAGTGCTAGCATTGGGGATCAATGGTGATATTCAGTGCACCAGTGCACCAATCCAAAACCGTTGGAACCCAACATTGAACTGAGAAGCCCTATAAAAAAAAATATTCTGCTCAATGGGATGCTTTTTCTTTGTTTTATACCTTTTTTTTAGATAGGTTTTCTTGCTGTAAACAGTGGCTCAGTCGGCACAACCTCGTGTGGTCTGGCTGCAGCCCTTGTTCTCCGACTGTTTATTTAGATTCTTTTGGCACGAGCTCTTGAAACAATCATGTTGATTCCAAGAAGACATGCCCGACTCACTGGCCCATTTGGTATCTACATCAACCATGTTTGGCAATTCCGAAATGGAAACTGGATGGCGATGCTGCTCTATAGCACACCAATGTTTGGCTACTATGCTAGGATGATGGGTGCTGAAGTTGATGGTGACCTCTGGTATTATGGAAACTCTCTCTATGAGTTCACCAAGCTCCACTTTCATGGTGGTACGATTGTGGATGATTCCCATATTAGGGGTCACTACATTGATGGCAATGGGTTGACTTTGAAGGATACATTTGTGTCAGGGGTGATGCATCCACGATGCTACGCCTCTGCTGGATCAGTGGTCTCTGGAGAAGAGAATGGTCCATGGAAAGTTTTCTTGAACAGTGGTGGCAAGGAATAAATTAATAGTGATTCAGACTCCAATGAATTTGATTCACTTTCCTCAATCTTCTTGTCCGGACAGTTCGTTTGTTGATTGGCTCAGGGCGACACATGCACATCAGCCGTCCCTTTCCATTCAAGGTATATGTAATCAATGACCAAGACAATGGTAGGTAGACGGTGGTAAACGATGGCAGTGTCAATCAGTGTCTTTTTAAAGAGTGGTAAACAGTGGCGAAACAGTGGTACTGTAATCGCAATAATTAAGTCAGCGGAGCTGTGGAACCTCAGCAGAAATGTTTCAGTGTAAAAGCAGATACCCCTCTCAAGAAGCAGATACCTCTAGTGCTTAGCTAGTGCTTAACTTGCAATTAGCTAGCTAGAAGCAGACACCCCTAGTAGCTAGCTAGAAGCAGATTCCCATAGCAAGCTAGAAGCAGATACCCTAGCTAGCAGTCAACTACTACTAGTTATATAGCTTTCACTGGCTTTATAGCGTTCCTGGTAGAAGCAGACCCCCTAGCTAGGATGCATGTAGCAAATGTCTTAGCTGGTTTAAAGCAGCACCCAGGATACTTATTTAGTTTTTGCTGACTTATTTTATTCTAACCCTACCCTTATATCTGCAGGGACCGCCAGAACAGGAAACACCATTAAAAGGGGTGGGGGCTCTGGCAGCAAGCCTGCCGAGGCAAACAGTGGTAAAATATTGGTATATAGGCAGTAGCTCGTCAAACGTTTGGAACAGGCCAATCGGACTGCCAACTGGAGTTGTGTAAAGCGCGCCATGTTTGGTGGCGAACCTGCCCAGAGCCATGTTGTGGAAGCAGTAGCAAGGACCCTCTCAATCAAACCTGAGCATGTATACAACATTTATGGACTTGCTGAGTCTGTGGGTTCCTCACTGGTGGCTCTGCATACCCTGACTCTGAGGGGCTTGTCTGCTGTGGAGAAGTGGACTCTCCAACCCTCAAGCTTTGCATTGTCCCAGATGGAAAGAAGGTGGAGGATGGACAGGTCGGAAGCATCTGGGTCCAGTCCCCTATTGTGGCAGTGGCTACTATGGCCAGTCTGAGCTAACCACCGCTACGTTTGCAAATGTCCTACCAGGCTATGCTGGAAGCTGGCTTGACACTGGTGACTTGGGTAAGGTTACGGATGGACAGCTCTATGTCACTGGGAGAGTTAAGATGTTATTATTATCAATGGAAAGAACTACTATCCAACAGATGTGGAGCTCTCTATTGGAGATGTTATCCGACCAGGCAGAACCACTGCCTTTCAGCATGGAGAGGACAGTGTCGTATCACGTCGAAGCCGCAAGGCTTTGACAAGTCGGAAACGAAGATTTGGCTGTACATATATCCAATCAGTATCTCAGGTGCATGGGCTTCTTGTCTCTGATGTTGTTGTCCTGAAGTTGGGTGTAACACCAAAGACCACCTCTGGCAAGCTCAAGAGGAGTGAGATCCGGCAGACAACTATTGCTGGTGACTGGAAGGAGTCTTCTATACTCCTTCACTTCCAGCGAAGGAAGATGTTACTCCTTTTGACGTTGGCAGCGTGCCTGAGCTTGGGCTTCCTACGATCGACCTCAGCCAAACATATGCCCTCCCCAGCAAAGCTGTTCAAGCTGTAGAGTGCAACCCCAGCAAGTTGGACTACTTGTACAAGGGTGTCACTGAGTGTGTCGAGCCAAGCTACTGTAGGGGAGAAGGACTCACCAAGGTATGCGACGGACTACTCCTCGAGCGTCGTATGCAATTATCAATCTTAAAAAGGGGAAGGCCTGCCTAAACTCGCTTAGATTGAGATACCACTATCTTGCATTGATTGTCCATTCGGCATTCCTTCGTTCTCAAATTGGGGAAGATCAGCTAGCCCATCTGTAGAATCAGGCGGCATGCTGGAGACTGCAGACCTTGTTGACTTGGTTCTTGCATTTACTATCACCCAATAGGTTTGCATTTCACCTAAAAATTGAAAGAGAACTCAATGAGACACAGCGCCCACAACAAAACACTACAATGAATACAGAAAAGAACTCACCTTTCCCTTTTGCGACAATCTTATCTTCTCGTGGGGTAAGCCATGCTCCCTTGCCTCGTGCAATTAGTGCTTCCGCCGTTGCAGGTGAAACGTGGATTCGATCCCGTTCGCCATTGGACTCCATTCGAGAGGCCGTGTTGACTGTGTCGCCAAACAATTGGAACCTACTCTTCTGGCCGCGGAGAACTCCAGCGGTAACCGGTCCGCTATGGAGACCGACTCGCATGGCGAGCCCAGCTGTATCTTCTCCGAGAGACTCTGCCAAGGAAGCCGTCACAATGTTCATTTGTTTCATACAGTCGGTGGCGAACTTGCACATTATAATTGCATGATCTACAATCAAAAAGAGGGAGAATTTGGTTAGAAAAGGTTTGGGCAGTGGATGATTACATTGGAAAGCACGTTTTTGGAACAACATTTTGTCCTTACCGTCTTGTGGTTTTGGTAGTCCCGTCACAGCAACATAGCAATCGCCAATGGTCTCAATCTTGTAGACCCTCCGCTTCATGGCGATTTTATCGAATGCCCCATAAAGAGCCTCCAACAACTGGAATACCTCGACGGGAGTCCGACTAGAACTCCATTTCGTAAATCCAGCAAGATCGGCAAAGAAAATAGTCGTCTTGGGGTAAAGACTAGCGATCGCAGCCTTGTGTTCAATGGAATCAGCAGCTCCGCCAAGATCCGCTCCATTGTTGTTTTGCCATCCAGCTTGACTTTCGCGAGCCTTGGCTTGCTCTTGTCGTGCTTGGTAGAGCTGATCGCGAACGGATTCTGGGAATAGATCCGATACAAGCTTTCCAGATTGCTGGGCCGAAGTCATGACAACCTTTTGTCGCTTCTCGACCATGTAATCGTAAAACAAAAAGACGGCGGATGTGAATAGGAACAATGCTGCCAATACAACCGCATAGATCCATGGAGTGTCTGTGCGATAGCTATCCTCAAACTGTTGAGATGGGTAGACCCTAATGCTGTACTGACAGACATCCTCAACGTCGTTGGTGGCGCTGCCAGATTCAATACCCGCGCCAGTCCCCAGATAGTCATACTTGGCATGGTGCAAATCGCCATGGCCTAGAAAGTGTGAGTATTGTCCATCGACCTGATAAGTGTATTGCTGGCCACACGTATTTTCTAGAATGACAATAATACCATCCGATCCCGGAGGCAAGAGACCATCGAAATAGGTGCGCCAATATACGGTGCAGAGAAAGGAAGCCACCACCTCTTTGTCCTGACCGTATCCGTCAAAGACTATGGTACCAACAAAGAAACAAAGAAAGAATATGTCAAAACACGTTAGTAGTGTTTTTAAAAAAACACAGGAACACAATGTCATATGTACGGTACCTGGTACTTACTGGGATAGTACATGGTGGCGATGGGGTCGTCTCGGTATTGGACATGATCGAACGCGTGTAGAAAGTAGTAGAATTGAACCTTTTCTTCCTCGGAAACTTGCCAGAAATCTTCGGTCTTTCCAAAGGATGGCTTGCCGGAGTTGTAGGCTGCATCAATGGCAGGCTGCTGAAAGGTGTCTGCGTAAATGTCGACGTTGCCAATGGAGACATTGTTTACGGGAAAGGTGTTCCACATGGGATGAAATGGGCCAGGACCATCTTGTGGCTTGGGTGGACCGCCATAGTGAAAGTTCATCATGACGGGGAAGATGCCATCGGGTGCATTTACTTGTTCAACGGGAATTCCCTCCTGAAAGGCGAGGGCTTCCTTTTTCCACGCCATGTTTTGCTGTACGTATTGATCCCACTGAGGCCGTTGGTCGAAGGTAACTTTGGGGACAAGTACAATAAACATGAGCTGACAAAGCATTACGAGAGAACCAGCCCGGAGAAAAAAGTCGGGAGGTGTCACAAAGGGCCAGCTGCCATTGGCGTAGGAAGTTTCCCCCATGGCAAAGTTCTCAATAATTCCAAACCGCTGATCCACCAGGGATTCAAAACTGGTCACCAGCTTGTCGCCAAGATCGGAAAAATCCTGTTCAAAGTCATTCTGTTCGCTGGCACGGCCTTGAAAATAAACCACCAAACAAACTGCAATGGCCACACTCAGCAACACCATTGTGGTCAGAAACCTTAGCCAAAAGACCCAACGGTTTTCTTCGTGTGCCAGGGCCTCATCGTCATTGTGTTCGTGTTCGTGTTGTGTGCCATCGCCATCGTGAGTCACTTGACTGTCGTCCTCGTCTTCATCAAGAAAAGCGTTGTTACCAGCGTTTGTACTAGTAGTAATAGTAATGGTGTTGGGAGCTCTACTAGTAGAGGCCATGGTTGTTGATCGATTATGGTTTTTCTTTAAAGGGACGTTACTGCTAGCTATTATTGCTGGGCGGAGGATTGAAAATGAATTGGGTGGTACCTGGTAGCTATTTTTGGAAAACAGATCTCGGTCATTTTTGCAAGGCATTTCTATGTCCTCGGTCACAAGTGGCTGTTCGACGCTGGGGACCCACACTACACTAAGTCTTGTCTTACCCTGCATGATATAGTAAACCGGGAACCCTCACGATAAAGTAGCATATCGGAATTAAAACGTGGGAAGCTTTCTGAGTAATGTCGTAAAAAGCTTACACCATTTACGACATCCTACTCAATTGATTAAATAAATACGACATTCTACGACAACGAAGTCGGAATTTTCGATATTTACGACATTTAAAACATACGTTTCAGCTAGTAGTACGACATTTACGACATTGAATCATGGTTATGAAAGACTTAAACTATCTGTTATACTTTTTAAAAATCCTGGCAAACGACTTTTCCGGGAGTGTTCCAGGGCACTGCTATTAAGGGCTACTACTCGAGTACCAGTACCAGTAGCTAGTAGCCTATTAATACTACTAGTAGTAGCTTTTCCAAAGGATTCGATTCACCTAGCTAGTAAAAGCAAGAGTTATGTAAAAAAATAACCCTGAGTTAGCTTATAGTCTACACATAGAATGAGTGCAAGTGCACGCATGCATATGTGGCGGGCCCGAAGAATAGCAAGGCTGAGCTGAGCATTAAATTAACGTAGCCACGTACCACCGAATAAGGGCGTTCCCACTTGTCAGCGAGCAAAGCGGAAAAACGTTTGGCGAGTGCCTCAGCTTCGTCCCCAAGGAGACCGTCAGTAGAGACGAAAAACGGAGTATAGTGGCTGCGTTGGGAGAGACAGGCATCGAGATACTTGCATTTCTTGTTGCGTTCGTGCGAAGGACCTTGTTAGGATCCTTGCGACAGTGAGAAGCAGCATCAAGATTGATGACACGAACATCAATTATGCCGTCAGTTCCAAGTTGAAAGAGGCCACGGATAAGGAGATCACCTCGTTCCTCGGATGAGGTGAGAACCACAGGCGGGTCGCTGGAAGGCGAGACATCCGTAGCTGCAGAGCGGACGAGATGGATACGGGGTTCGTCGCGAACTGCAGTTGGAATGAGCCTTGGCAGCGAGATCACCATGTTCATCACGCACTTCATTGTGGCGTTAGAGGACCAAGCCGCCCTTGGTACAGGAAAGAGCGTGAGTGACACTGAAGCACTCCCCGCAGCCATCACAATGGGTGGGGAGATCAGGGGGACTCCGATCGTAGCGCAAATGCAACGCATCACGGAATTCCTGGGCGGCTAGAACAGTGCCATTTTCAGGCTCTGGAACCACATGAAGCCAGGCACCAGTCTCCGGGACACGCTTCACAACAGAACGACTGGACCGTGGCAAGGCACCAAGAGCCCGGTGAAGAAGGTTCACAGCAGCAGCAGCTTCACGTCGATCGCGAAGAGCCTAACAACCATCAGACACGGCCTGACGGTGATCCGCAATGCGGAATGCTTGTGAGGGATCACACAGACTGGCTGTGATCACACTGCAGATGTCCTTACTAGCACTATGATTTTCATCGATAGTGGTAGTAGGATTGGGAAGGGCCAAACCAGCTGCTTTCACAGGCAAGCTGGTGAGTGGGCGGGCGAGCTCCGAAGGAGCAACCCCAAAGAGTGCTGGGAGGAAGGTGGTAGCGACGGCAACATTCCTAGCTAGATAGGATCAACTCCATGGAGGCATGCGTACTGTAGCATGTCTTGTGGTCCGTCTTTCTCGGAAGTTGGAGCGACGATGCCATGGGAAGTCGGCAACAAAGTACTGTAAGGAAAGCAACCACGTACGTATATACGTAGGACGATTGAAGGTGGATCGAATCGAATGGACTCCTTCGAATTGCACGGCAGCTCCAGGGCTCCAAAGATCATGCATGGCGTCCCTCAGCTGCATGCAGCTTTGGTGTCGGAGAGAGCAGGTGGTTGGATCGTGTGTGCAGATATAGTTAGTTGCCAATAATGCAAGCAACTTGATCTTTTTCATTCCAGTCAAGTGGCAGAATGGATGTCGTAACTGCGGGCAGTACATGAACGTACAGATTGTGTAGTCCCCGATCGATCGATCAAGCCAGCCATGAATGAATCAAAACCCCCCTTTACATTGGTACCGGCACCGGTACAATGGAGGAGAGATGCCAACACGGCGCACCCTTGGGCTCCACCACACCACTGCGACCACTAGCTACCGGTAGCTGTACTCGAATCTAATCTTCTCAAATAGTCTAGAGGATGCGGCGTGTTCCTTGCTGTTTGGGGTCTATCTAGCTAGACACGGGAGTAAGTATATCGACCATACAGAAGCCGACAATGGGCCCAACACAAAGTTCAGGACTAGCTAGTAGCTAGTAGTACATGTAAAGGTTCTGTGGGATCAGTTTGGTTTGGTTTGGTTTGGTTTCGAGGCATACCCTGACACCAAAACGCAATGGAAATAATGAAAGATGCCACCAGTATGTCGGTACCGGTACGGTACCGTACCGCCCTTTTTTGAAAATTCTGTGATGGCTGCATTTTAAAATTTTTGAGTAACGATGACATTACCCCTTCTCACTCTCTCACGCATGCAAAAACACATCCATGGAGCCACCCATGCAAGCATTCCTGTATATATACTTGCATGTCATGTCATGTCATGTCATGTCATGTCATAATACCGTTAGTAATATGAGGTAATGCATGTTATTGACAAACAATCTGTACTTGATGGGTATCGTAAAAGACATTTTGTTTGGCAGGCGGACTGAGCCAAATGTAGTTGGTAATGAAATCGGGATAATCCGCTTCGTACAAGATTCGTAGAATGGTATCCTTGTCCATGGTGGACGATTGTAGGAAATTGTAAACGCCCCGATAGGCCACTTGCACTTGATATCCTTGCTGCTGTGATTGTGCTCGTAATTGACTATTGGAAATGGCAAATCCCACAAACTCATGAGCCGATCCCAAATCCGTGGCATATAAATGATTGACAAATCGTTGCGTTTCAAAGAGCATGGCATTGAGTTCTTGCAGTGTGGGAGTCGGTGGAGGAGGTCGTGGTCGGAGTCCATCTTGGTCGTCGTGTTCGCTAAAAAAGTCAATCGTCATGAGACACGTGGCCGTTAGAGTGCGGTGAGGGACCACAATGCCACTGCCCAGGGCCGCCGTTTCAGTACTACCACTACTAGTACTGGCAGCACTAGTAGCTACTGAGGCTGCACTCATAGGTCTGGTGGCACGAGTGTCTCCCGTAGTATCTCCGGTAGTGATACCATCTACATCTATCGAGCCAGCCAAGTTGATGGGAATATCACCATCCGTATCATCAGTAGTTTCATCCGCTGGTGTCGCCGGCATGGGAACCGTGCCGCTGTCATCACTGGGAGGTCTGGGAGGAGGTCGATAAGCACTGCCCGTATTACCAGTACTAGTAGTGGCAGTGGCATTGGCATTGGTGCTACCCATAGCAGCAGTGTTCTCCTCTAGTAGAGAACGTGTACTGAGCGAGACACCCAATCTGCCTTGAATGCTCGCAACGCAGAAACTTAACCAGAGAAGCAAAAGAGATCTCATCATTGTCTATCTGCTCTTTGTTTTGCTGTTGCTGTCAACTGATGTCGGATGTTCGGATGTTGGGTCTTTAAAATTTGTGTTGCTTGGAAATAATGAGAAAGTCGACAGAAGAGACGAGACAAACTCGTAAAACTTGGTTGCCAAAATGGTGATCCAAGTCATGAATGACTGTAATAAGAGAATTAACAAAGAGCCTGCAGCTCAGCAGTTGTTAATCGGTGAGTCACCACTATTTGTTGTTGAGTTTAAGAAGAACATACATGAACAACAAAGACGGTGTTCAGCTGTTCTCGTTGGGTTCTTCGAGACGCGATGTTGGCCATTAGAGAATTAACAATTTGCTGGCCGGTTACTAAAAAGTCATCCTGTCCTCTTCGTATTGATAAGTATTAATACGCTTCTACTAGTCCACTGGCGCCTCTCGACACTCCCACACATCATGACAGTCGCTCATTATTTCTCATGGACCGATGGTGGTTTATGATACTTACTTGTACTTCCGCGCTTGTAGATCTATGCCGCTGCTGCAGATCTGGCTAACGGACCGAAGACACCTGTACAAAGTATGTACCAAAATAGCCAAACATTCCCTTTACGAGCTAGCTAGCTACCATAGCTATCAGGGCTACATAAGTGGCTAGCTCTAGCCACTCAGAGAGCCAAACCGAAACTGGTCGTACTGCATGGATCTTTCAGGACAACTTACCGGTACGAGTACATATTCTCAGCCGGAGATTTCTTCTACTAGTACAACTTGGAACATCCATGGCTACAAGAGAAGTGATGCCTGCCACGGCATCATTCTAACTACATGTATAGTCTATAGCCAGCACTTTTCTAGCAGAGGAACCACCAGCTAGAGTCTATTGTTGATTCGATTCCATTCCAAAACAAAAGCGATGGATCACGTTGCTTGCTTGCTGGCTGTCGTCCCCATGCAGGTTTGTTGCCTTCCCTTTTGCATTTCAACCTTTTTGCTTCGAAGCAAGAAATGTGAGCAAAAAGCATGCTATCTGCGCAAGGGCCACAGTCCAGGTTCAACTCTTATTATTGTCTACCAGTCGTCTCTATGTCTCTACTATTAAATAGCTAGCTAGCTAGTAGTATGCTGTCCCTTAAATCGTCCCTAAGAGTGAATCATCCCCTAACTCCCCTTTGAGATGAAACACCCCTTAAATCGTCCCCAATCTAGTGGTGTTTGCTTTCTCGGGATCCAGGTAAAAGGTAGCGCAGTGATGCCCGCATATCATGGAAGGATTAATTAAAGAGTTAGCTACCAAACCTACCACTAGGGCTATTTAGTACTTGTTTTTCCTTCAGCTAGTAAGCCAGCCAGTCAATGGATTTAGAGACAACCAGTACACATGGATGCCCAGGCACTGCCCCAAAGAGTGGGAGTGCCAAGGAAATCAGCACATTTTGTAGAACCAAACATATCTTCCACGTCCGCTGTCAGAGGCAAAGTTGTACTCCAGGCACACATGTCCTTGGTGAAACTAGAAGCAAGCTCAAACATTGCATGGGCGTTGGCCACATGACTCACATCCCAGTCAGACAAATCCTGATTGAAGACATAGCCTTTCCGGATCATTTGCCCCATTGAAGTAACTTGGCTCACATCCCAGTTGGAGATATCTTGATTGAATGAGGTTGCACCATTGAACATGTTGGATAAGGAGGTTACTCTGGAAACATCCCAGCTAGAAATATCTTGGTTAAATGCAGATGCTTCTCGAAAGACAGCCCACATGCCAGTTACCTGGCTCACATTCCAGCTAGAGATATCTTGGTTGAAGAGAATGGCTTCATGGAACATCCTGCCCAAACCAGAGACCTGGCTGACATCCCAGCTTGAAATGTTTTGGTTGAACGAGGAAGCACCATCGAACATTTTGACCATTCCTGTCACCTGGCTAACATCCCAACCCCCAATGTCTTCATCGAAACTGCTCATGTTCGCATTCCTTTCCAAGCTGAATAGCTCACTTAATGACATTTGTTCAAAGCACCAGTTGTAGATTGGCCCATACATTTCCTCTCCACTTGGAATGTCATCCACAGCTGCATAGGCATTGGCTTGGTCCGAAATACACGCATAGGTGGGTGCAATGCTTGGCTGGAAACTGACACTAGGGCTGACGCTAGGAGTACTGCTGGGGCTTTTGCTTTTGGTAGGAACAGCAGAGGGGGTTGCGGTTGGAGCTTTGGATGGTGATATGCTAGGAGTCTGTGATGGGGAACTGGTTGGTGATTTGCTCGGCTGGTAGCTAGGACTTTCACTTGGACTGAAACTGGTGGTTGGACTGACACTCACACTAGGACTTTCTGTTGGACGAATGGATGGATGAGGGCTTGATGTTGGTAGAGTGCTTGGAGAATCTGTTGGAACACTGGTGCTTGGACTCGTGGAAGGAAAGTCGGTTGGTGCTTCCGAAGGAATAACACATTCGTGACAGAGGTCACTCCAATATCCATACAAAAAGCCAGGGGTATCATCCTTGTCACAAGACGTTCCAGAGAACATGTCGCTTACACTGTTGCGTGTGGTATCAAGCTTCGATTGCCAGGAACACAAGTCAATATTGAAAGCAGAGGCACCTGTGAACATTTGGTGTGTTGAGGTTGCACTGCTTATGTCCCAGTTGGACAAGTCTTGGTTGAAAGTGCCTGCATTGGCGAAAGTCTCATAGAAGCTTTGTACTTTGCTCACATCCCAGCCTGAAATGTCATAGTTGAATTCAGATAGACCGTAAAACAGCTTCCCCATCAGAGTTACTTTGCTAACATCCCAGGAGCTGACATTATGGTTGAAACTTGTGGCCTTTAGCATGTATGCCATACTCTGAACATTACTGACATCCCAAATGGATATGTCCCCATTGAAGTTTTGAGCTCCATTAAACAAGAATCTCTTGATCAGACCAAAGGCATCCACAGGCAACACGGTGACAGTTAGGGTTGGCGGGACCAAAATGGGTTTGTATGGCGCCAAAATTGAAAGAGAGATCATGTGCTCCTATCCGCAACAGGACTCACCATATCTGTAACCTTGCTTGTATCCCAAGTACCAATCTCCTGGGAGAATGCGGAAGCGCTGTGAAACATGTAGTTCTGTTGGTAAGGCCGAAGTAATCCGCAGGCAACGCGGGGGCGGTTAGGGTTACGGTTGGCAGGACCAAAATGGGTTTGTATGGAGCCGACATTCAAGGAGGCATCATGTGCTCCTATCAGCAACAACACTTACCATATCTTTCACGTTGCTTGTATCCCAACCAGAGATGTCCTGGTTAAAAGCGGAAGCCCCTCGGAACATCACGCTGAAATCTGTCACCTTGCTCACATCCCAGCGACTAATGTCTTCATTGAATGAGCTCATAGCATCATTTCTTTGTGTGCTGAGGAGTTCCTTCAAGGACATGGCATCAAAGCACCAATCATGTACTGGCCCATAGGTTTCCTCAGCCATTGTAACATTGTCCACAGCATCATATGCACTGGCTTGGTTTGGGATGCACTGGTATTCCTTTAGCTCAACATTCAGAGCACAGGAGGAGTCTAGATAAAGCATGGTATCATCACTTCTATCGGTAATGCAAGCTGTCTTGGCAATCACTTCTTCCAAGGTAGACGCCAGATGACGATGCCCTTGGAGCCCCATACTGCCCTGGATGTTGAATTCCTGCAGCTGATCTAGCTGAGCTTCCATGACTGCAATCTTCTCGCCATGCTCACTGACATCTGCTGTATTGAAGTCAATAGTGGTCAAAATGTCCTTCACAACTGTTTCCATTGCCTCGACTCTCTTTTGAAGACTGGTAACGGTATTCTCTAGTTGCAGCATCAAAGAGAAAACATCTTGATGATTGCCGGCTCCAATGCTGCCAATTTCTTGTTCCTGGCCTGTCGATCAATTGGTACAACACGATAGAATGTCAGTAATCTGCGGGAAGGCACATGATTCCCAGACGTTGATGGATCGTACCACTCGTATTGGCGTCATTCCTCTTAACGGAACCGGCTTCGGCACCACCAATGGTGAGCCAGACGATGGCGGCAATCCCAAACGAGGGGAGAGATGCGATCTTCATTGCAATATGGTATCAATGCTTGGGCGCTGTCCAATGTTTGTTTTGCTGGGACGACTATTTGAATTTGTGGGAACGATCGATATCAGTCGCAGATCGCGCGTTTTGACGTCTAACGCCAAGCTTCCAATAACCGAGCTAGGCCACAGCAACGTGCTGCACCCTGTTGTGGTTTCGCAGTGCTCCACTTTCTTGTGTCTGAGTCGTGTGAAACAGCCGCGAGTCATTATTGAGAGCCCCTGAAACGCACGCGGTTGTATTATACGTATAACATTTTCACTATGTATTCTACAGATCATACGTATTACACATATAACATTTTTTAATTAATATGTATTAGACAAGTCATACGTACAACACAGGTAACACAAGTGGAAAAATATTATACGTATTACATGTATTATGTGTTGTACGTGTTTTACGTATAATACATAGTGACGAATTTTTGCTAAGTTTTTTTGCCAGGTGTTTTGCTAGGTTGTTTGGGAGGCAGAGAGGAAGATGCACTGTTGCAGGCCATAATACCTGACAGCTTATCAAGTAAAATGGACTCTTACCTATCTGAACTCTCCCATGTTGCTAGATACAATATCAATGATGAAGAATGGACTCCTGCTTCAATCATTGTGAATGTAGCACCTCACTACTGATGATACACCAAAGGAGATAAACATAATGGATACTCTGGGGTTCGATAATTATCGAATGGAGAAATCGACGGTGTATTGGCTACTTCGATGTATCAATCTTGTGATTCGGCCATATTAAAGAAGTTTTGGATGCCATACTTTGTACTTTCTTTGCAAGACTGCTGGATTCGTATCAAAAACAAGGGATTCGATAAGAGGCGGAATCACATTACCATATGTTGTCCAATGAGTCTTTTTACAAACAAAGGTCCCAAAAGGAAGAACAAAAACCACCCAGACTCAAGCTTTCCTGTTGAGGGGGAGGGTGTCAATGTCATTCCTCTTCAATGTTCTAATAGCCGGAACACGACGGATGGTATCTCCCATTTCCAGACAGGCAACAAGCTCCATCGTGGCCATGTAAAACTAGAAGAGGCACAAGAGAAAGTGTTAAGTACTCACTTGGCACAGAAGCCGTTAAACTAGCGGAACAATGCCTAAATAACCTATAACACGTGTTACGACCTAAGATACGTATTAAACGGGTGATACTTATATCATAACACGTTACATGCATAACACGTTTTACACCATAACACGTGTTATACCATAAACATGTGTTACACCCGTAACACGCGTAATACGTGTTGCGCGCTGAGGTAATTACATGGGTTCAGTACTGTCCCTACAGTAAAGTGGTTGACAATGTGTAGAATTCAAGGCCAGGTCTTCCACAGGCTTTGTCAGTGAGCCTTCAGAAGTTTATGAATGCAAAGAGAATGGTCTTCTGAAGGCTGTATCGGCCTGAGGAAGAGAGTTGAGGACAGAATAAATGGAGAATTTGAGTTGAATGAAGGAGAAATATTCTATCTTTCCACAGGAACAGTCATCTTGGCTTCAACAAAGCCATACAACATTGCCTACTTACCCAAATGATGGTACTATCTTCAAAAACAATGATCGAAACCTTTGTATCCTTCAAACAACCAAGAGAAGAGAGGTTGTTATCATGGTGGTTCTTTGTGGTGGAGAAGTTGGAGTTGAAGTCAAAAGTCAAAAGTCAAGTCATTTTGCGAAACTCGAACGGTAACGGTGGCTGGCTGGCGCCTGGGTATACTTGTTATACGTATTCCACATGTAAGACGTGTTACACCTTTTATA